AACTTTTAAACGCATTAATAATTTCCATAACATTTCTTTCTCATCAATTCCTCATGCAAAAATATTTTCAATCTTTTTCTAATTATTCATTCCTCTTTTACTATTAATGTCACTTGATAAAGAGAGAGGGAGAGCGAGAGAGAGAGAGAGAGAAAGGGGAAGGAAGTGAAAGAAAAGTTATAAAAAAATTAAACTAATTTTTGTTTTTTCTCCTTTTAGTTCTCGTAATGTTTCTCTTTCTTTTTTTTTTTTTTTTTTTTTTTTTCAAACCGAAATAATTATATTTTATTGAAATTTTTCAAATTATTAATTTGATTAATTTTGTGTTTATTTATGCATTATTTGTAAGAAAGAATTATTTTAAACATAAATTAACTATTATAAATATTGTGAAATTTCATTAATTCTCAAAAATGAAATCATAATCTATGTACTTATCTTGATAATTGATAATGAATGATAACTGATAACAATTCCAGCATAGTGATTAATCTTTGTTGCAATATTTTCTCTTAAACCTCACTTTGTCATCAATATTGTCTAAAAATTTTCAATTGCTCATCTCACTGAGAATTTATGGCACAATTTTTTTATATTGGCACAGGGTTACATGAAAGACATTAGTTATGCGAGTTTTTTCTTTTTTATTATTATTAATACAAGAAAGCAAATTGTTATTGTTAAATTATAAGAAAGCAAAAAAAAAAAAAAAAGGAAAAAATATTTTACTAAAAGATTTTCATTAAAAGAAATATAATTACAATTACAATTACAACTAGTATTATCATTTGCTAAGCATAAATTAAATAATTTCCTCCTTTTAAATCTTTGCCATCCATTTCCGCTTTTCCTTTTTTTTTTTGCTTTTTCATCTCATATTTTAGAATAAAATTATCATTATATGTGCGCAAATGTCCAGTTTTTCCTTATAAGTCAGTAACGCTTATGAAAAACTGTTTATGATTGATTTATTTTCACTAATTATTTAATAACAACAGGTTAAGTTATACCTCATCTGGTTTTCAAGAAAAAATATTTTACTAGCAGTTGGACACACACACACACACACACACACACACACATACACACACACACACACACACACACACACACACACACACACACACACACACACACACACACACACACACACACACACACACACACACACACACACACACACACACACATACACACACACACACATACACACATACATACATACACATTCATACACATAAATGCGCACATATAAGAAATATTCACATAAAAAGTGATTGAAATGAAATGAATTCACGATGAATCAAATTAAGCCTTACAGATAACCGTAAAGTAGTTGTGGACTAGTAACATCTATTGACAAATTGATGTTGACAGGAGGAGACAAGACAAGATTCTCGAGAATACAGAATTATAAACTTTGAGGTAATGTCATTCAGTAATGTATCTTCCTTCTCAAACATTTCATAAATATTATTTTAGTAAGCAAAATATGTAAGTAAGCATAGCATAACAATTCAAAATGGAAATGAATATATGATAATTAGTGATATTTGAAATTTGCTTAAACACTGAAAACTTTTAATAAACAATTCTAAAATATCTGTAAAAACTATCAAATAAATCAAAACATAGAATTAAGCAAATTTAAGTTAAAATAATTTTTAATTCATATTTAAGTGAGTTGATTTAACAGTTATATTTATATGAAGAATAAATATAACTTACTCCAGATATAACAAAAATTTATCGTCTAAAAATTACAATTCTGTTTTTTCATTTCTGTTTAAATTTCATTTAGAATAAAATTTACCTTGCAAATAATCAGATTGTGTTGGTGTAGGCTGAATTACAATAACTGCTTTCCGATCTTGCATCATTATTGTTTGTCGTACGATAACTAATTCACTTTCTATAAATTTATAAGTTAATATAATTTGTTAATTAATAATTAAAATTATTATTTACTATATCAATAATACAGTACAAAATGCACCTTTAATTATTTAATTATCTAAAATATTCATACAATTGCATTCTCAAAACATTTCATATTCAACAAAATAAAATATAAAAAAAAACTATTCGATGGTTGCTAATTATTTAAACTATTTCTTTGTCCAAAGAATATTTTAAAGTATAGGTACAAATTAGCTAGAACAAAGTTTGACAAAATATTAACTCATCAAAAAGATGAAAATATTTAATTGAAGTTATAAAATTTCACCATAAAATTTTACTATTAAATTAGACTACTAAAAATAAAACTGTAAAATTTCATCAGAGAGATGAAAATTATTTAAGAGAAGATGGAAAATTTCTAAACTTCATCTTAACAACATTATTTAACGTTTTACTGCACAACAAAAATTTTTACTTCCCAAAAAAAAAGAAAAAAAAACGCACACGAATACACATAAATTCAAAAGAGCAAAAAAAGATTTAATTTTGAAACAGACTGATTCATCCTGTAATGTGGAAGAAGTGATCCATGATTAGAAGAGGAATAGAAGGAGTGATAATCACTGATATTGGTGATAAATGAACTAATTAGAGAATGATAATCATTGATATTGGTGATAAGTGAATCAATTAGGGAATGATAATCACTGATATTGGTGATAAGTGAATCAATTAGGGAATGATAACCACTGATATTGGTGATAAGTTAACCATATGAAAATGAAATAATGCAAATTCTATGCTAATTTCTAATTTTTCTCCTTTTATATCTACCATCAAATATTAACAAAATAAAAGATTGAAAGGAAAAAATGTGCTAAACTAAGTAAAAAGTATGTTCTTGAAATTTGCATAATCAAATAAAAGACTGAAAGGAAAAAGTATACCAAATTTGTTTCAAATTTGCATAATGCATATGCAAAAAATAATTTGCAACAATGGTTTAACATATTCATATTTGCTATGAATAAATTTTTCTTTAAAAAAAAAAAAAAAAAAAATTCAGTCAAAATTTCATTATTAAAATTTTCGTAAAAAGTTCAGAAATTTTAATTCGAAATTTTAATATTCTTAAAATTTTGTTCGCAACCTAATGTGAGATTTCATTACTTGATTAACTAATATTAGAAATATTTATAAAAATATTTGTTATCTTGGAATTATATAATGTTTTCTAAGAGCGCACAAGTTATCAAAACTTAACTTTATTGATTGTTTAATATAAGAAATATTTATTGTATTAAAAAATATATTAAAAAAATATTATATTAAAAAATATTTAAAAAAAAAAAACTTAATATAAGAAATATTTATTATATTAAAAAAATTTATTCTTTAATGATAATTCAAAATTATTTTCCCTTTTATTTTTACTGTTCCATTAGTATCTCATTAAGTAATAAAATTTAAATTGGCATCTGTATTGTTTTCTTCCTAATGATTTCAATCTGTTATTATTTTCTTCCTAAGCACTTCAATTTTAAAATACAAATCTGAATTTGAAAAGATTTTAAAATATTTTCTTAATATTAAAATTTGCTTATCGAAAACAAAAATAGAAATATCAATATAAAGGATTTTATCTATTCAAATTAATCAAAATTAATTTAGAACGAGCAAAAAGAACAAAAAAAAAAATAAAAGATTATGAATGAAATGAAAAATAGACTGACTAGCTTTTATAATTCCTATTTTTGTTTTTCTTTCCCTTACAACAATAGATTTTTGAATTAATAATCATTTTAAACCATTTCCAATACAAATATGACATTTCAAATTGAACAATTAGTATGAAAATAGTAAATAAAGGTGGAAAAAATTTGTAAAGAAAATATTTTTTTTTCCTCAAAAGTTTAATATGAAATAAATGTAGGATGCATCGATGCTCCTTGAACAGAGAGAAATAAGCAACTATGAAACCAAATGAACGCTTCTTAACATTTTTTTTTTTTTTTTCTATTTAGCGCAAAACATTCATCCCACTTCGCAAATTTTGTTTCATTTCACATCAATTTTACTAATTGCACCAATCCACTTATTTATCGTACTACTCGACAACAATAATGGACTTTAATTGAAATAAATGTTGAGGAAATTCTTGAAAAAATAAGCATCTAATATGTTGGATATTTATGAAATGCACTGTTCATTTTAATTATCAATTCGGTCTTAGAAATTTTTAATTATGACCACTTTAATTTGTTTAAAATTCAAATTTGTTCTCTAGATTATGATGAACAGCAGGTAAATAAAATGCTCACCCATCTAATTATCCACAGAATACCCCACTGAGCTTGATTACAAAATGAATTATAACGAAAATTCTTCATTAAATCATCGTCTCATCTTGACAAATTAAACTTTTTTTTTTTTTTGTTTGTTTGTTTGGTTCAGAAAAAAACTAACTTTTAGGAATGTGTAAAGAATCATTAAGTCACAATCGGAAACGAGGAATCAGATCATATTCAGATCATATCTGCTACATGAATTAAGCTTGAAAACTGTGCGAAAGACTAATTTTTTTTACTATTGTAGTAATTATTCACACTAATATAGTATAAAAAAGGAATGAACATGAAAAATAGAAAAAAAAAGACTGTTTTAACACAAAGATGAAAATGAAAGTCCATCAGCTATAATAATACTTAACCACCAGAAAAGAATTTTAAGGATTCAAATGATATCGAATATAAACAACCACGTATTGAATTGATGTGTACAAATTTCAATCATCGGTAATTTAAATTTAACAAACAACGAATCTGCTGTAATTACAATTAAATTTTACATGCGGATCATAAAATCTGAAGTAGAAATTATTTGGAACAGGAGTCGGTCTATTAATCGCTTATATAGATCGGATTCATTAATGAATATGAACAGTAAAGCCAGTCGCTCACTTTCACAAAGAATTTGACCAAAACCAAGCCTCAGATTACGTAAATTTGGCAATTTCTCAGAACAAGAATCAGAAAAATGAAATAATACAGTACAGACACAGTAAAGACTTTTTACAATTTCAAAAGAATCTAAATTTCCTATTTCTGTAATATATCAAAAAGTACTTTAAGAGAAGGAGTATAGAAATTTGGAATAAAATCTTTATATCCATGTTTCTCGAATTCCTCAACTTTGTTCAGATCGTGCACTCCAGTACCTACTAAAACCGATGTTAGACCATTTACATGTCCAAATTTTATATCTGTTTCACATGAGTCACCAAATATCACTGACTTTTCGGCCTTCAGATTGAACCTAAAAAGAACTTTTAAAAATCGGAATAGTCAAACTTTCATGCACTATTTACACAGACATAACTACAGAATGAAACCGTTTACTTAGTTCATTTTCTTTTAACACTTGACAATATTTCCTTGCTATTCACACTACTTCCAAGATTATGATTTGTTAACATGGACAATTAAAAAAAAAAATATGCTGAAGAGATAACTAAACTAAGGCTGTGCATAACAGCATGAACTGATCTAATATCCAAACCAAAATTAGTAAACAACAAAAATACACCTTTCCTTGATGTATTCGAACATTGTTTTGCTAGGCTTACCAATTACGACTGGTTCTTTGCCAGCAGCTGTTTGCACTGCTCTCATACTGACACCTGATCCTGGTATAACAACACCTGAAAATAGTGAAAATAGAGTTATAAGATCCTAAACTTCTCGAAATTTGCATTCCCAAAATATAAAAATAAAGACAACTTTCCACTTGAACTAGGAGGTTACAAAAAGCAATTACTTAACTTCCCAATTACTTTTTTTTGCCGCTGATATATAGCATTTTGATGAGGAAATATAAAAGCACTAATTACCTGGTACAGGCCCAGGCAGCCTTGGATCTGGATTGGTAGCATAAAAACGTACTCCTGCCTGATTGATATAGTTTGCAGCCCTCATTATTTTAGGATAGCTTAGATGTATATCGAAGCTAACTACTACAGCTCTCACTTTTCTGGATATATCCATTTGTTGTATGGATTCGACATTGGTGTAAGACTCGACAAGATCGGGACCTGTCCCAAAGCTTTCTATTCCTTCTTTTTTCAATTCTCTCTGAAGTAATAAAACCATGTCTGGAAAGCAATAAAATAAAATAGTACAAAAAAAAAAAAAAAAAAAATTACTTGTAAACCACTTGAACCAACAATATACACTGGCAAGTCGGACTTTTCCTTGGCCAATATGTGAGCCAGAACTTTAGCAGGTGATAAAATGTGGTCATCAGACAGCATATCAAAGCCTATTCGCTTACATTTATTCACGTAATCATCCAATGTCTTGGTTGAATTATTTGTTAGTATGAAGACATTTTTACCTGAAAAATGCTTCATTATCAAAAAATTGGCAAAAAGGTGGAAGCACGAAGTTATTATTCTAAAGAAAACATCAAAATGTGTTCAATGTGTTCATTCCTCTTTTCTCCATCTTCGGGAGAAACTGTGGAAAACAATAGTGATTGAACAGTTCCAAATATTCCTCAAGAAATGAAAAGAGAGGAGGAGAAAAAGAAGAGAGAAAGAAATGGTAGTAAGCAAAAAATTTCGGACTTTCTTTTTCTACACGGATTTAAATTTGAAAAAAGAAAAGAGAATAAGTGAAATGCAAACCAGCAGATACGAGATGTCGCAGGAAATCTGCAGCGCCCGGTAATGCTGTGTCATCAAGCCACAGCACTCCATCAGCATCGAAAAGAAATGAATCGAACGAACTGATCAGTTGATGACCGTCTGCCTGTTGTACCCTTGACATTCCCTGCAATAGCAACTGTTAATTCATGAAATCTTTCATTACATGATATTTTGGTAATTTGTCCATTTCCTAATCCATCAAATTTATTAGACTAATCGAGTCTTATTATCAGATATCGCATTATTGTTTACAACATTTGCTTCATTAAGTTGTGAATTTATGATCATATCAATCTTCAAATGAGATTGTTTTTTCCCAGCCAATAAATGTGTTAGAATGATTAGGAAGGTGTGAGAAGTAAAGCTAAGTAACTGAGGATGAAGAAGAGGAAGAAAATAAATGGAAAAGAAGGACCACATCAGAATAAAGGGAAGAGATCGTTTAGAATTCTTTTTTAAAAGTAAACGATACTTATGTTACGTGCCCATAAATTTTGCACTTCCTCATTTTTCTAAATCTCATATATTATAACATATGACGAAAAATTATTGAAAAAACAAACGAAAGATCATTAAAATCAACGAAACATACTTGTATTGCAAAGAAATTAAATCGCGCTTTAGTGCTGTATAGCACAATTTTGGAGCTGCAACAGTCCAATGCTGTCTTAAAATAAGATCTTGCAAAATCAGTCGATAATGGAAGGATACGGTACTGAAAATGCCCTAATTACATCATTTGGCATCAGTTCAAGTGGAGACTAGCACGATGGGTGGAGGTTTCGTCATCACTGGTCAGTGTAGTGGTCAGCAGACGCGCGGAGCGGTGCGGCGGCGGATGGTGGCTCTAGTGGTTGGGGTCTGGTTGGTGGGGATATGTGTGTGGGTTGTCGTTGTGGTAGGTGTGCAAGTAAGTTACGTGAGTCACGTCACATGATTACCTGTATGAAATCTGTGCTTCGTATGCGTCATGTTGTTACCCGCAATAAGAATGATGCGCCCCACTTTGCGTGCGTGCTAGCGAGCGCGTGCGATGCGTCATTGTTGACGATGACGATGATGATGATGATGATGGTTGTTGTTGTTGTTGTATTTTATATGAGGGTTGTAAAGGGAAGGAAGGTAAAGGGAGGAGATTAGATGAAAGTCTCGGATTCGGTAGCACCAAGTATGTTCTAAATTTTGGACAAGCTGTAAGGGGTAATTTCTGTGTGTGTGCGTGTCTGTCTGTTGTCTGTGTCTGTGTGTGTTACCTTTGCGCATTTATGAGATTACCGCAGTTCGTGCCAGGTGGTGCGTGGGGGTGAGGGAGAGGGGAGTTCTGCCTTTTGTTTGCAAAAGTGTCTGATGATCACCGCCGGTGTGATGTTGCTGTACGACGTTGGCCGGTAATATTCTATCCACGCCGAAATATTTCACATTATTTCACTGGGGATACTTCTCTTTCCCTGTGTTTGATATAAAGCTGCCAAGTTACGCTGTCCATCCTTGCTCTTGGTTTTCAATTTAACAGTTGAATTTATGTTCTTGGTTTATGGAGCAGTTCATATCTCGTACCACTTACCCGAGTCATGTGTAGCCAGAGGTCGTAGGTAATCTATCCAACGGTTTTTGATGTATGAATTTTACTACTTGACATTCAGCGCTGTGTAAGATTACATGGGATTTCATTCCGCATCTTTAGATGTGGTCGTTCGGGAAAAGGAGCTTTTTTTCCCCACCATTTTTTTCAGTTTTTTGGCGTTGTCTTTTTTTCTTTTTTTTTTGTGTTTTAATGTTTTTCATTGTTCTTTTGAAGTTCAGGATGACCGAAGGCTTTGCTAAGGAGTTAATTTTAATTGATGAAATATGACAGATGAAATAAATGCTGCTGTTTTTTCCACTATTTGAACACACTGATACGCTGAAAATTTATTTAGATTGTGTCAGTGATGTCATCGATATTGCTATTACTATAAATATTGCTACTAAGAAATGGTTACTTTTCTTTTCTTTACATTTTTAATGTATAAGCTTTCAATATACACGTTTCTGAACATTTTCCACCATTCGCATAGATTTGGTAATTTCGGATATAATTTAGTTAATGTTCTACATATTTTTTACTTTTATTAAGAGACGAAGCTTGGCTCCTTCAACGGTCGGTGGGACTTCGTCGTCACCTGCGATAAAACCATACGTTTCGCTTGGTGACGGCACAAAATTACGGGAGCGGAAAAAACACAAAATGAACGCATTAGAAGTTAGTGCAAATTTTCTGGAGTTTTGTAATCATGATGAATGTTTTCTGAATTAGTCTGTGAAGGTAATGAATTTTGCTTTCTTCAAAAATAGTCGTAATCAATCACTTTACACTTGCATTCTATTAGGTTTTGTCCTTCGATCTGATCCTTACAATTGCGGCTGATCTATGCCTGCAGCTGTCTCTCGTAAATATGTTGGTGTGTGACCTACCCGTAGCTCCGAATATGTGTGGGACAAATTGCACAACACATATCGGTCCACGGGAAAGCCACACATTGACTGATTCGATCTTCCCGCCATTGCTGACCTCTCCTCATTATGATGTAGTGACCCGATGCCATATGCCATATAGTAGTGATAGTTCTGTTGCTCAGTGCCTTGTAATTCATCCAGCTACTTCTCATTGTTTATATTACAAGTTCTTAAATTCTTATAATCATGTCACTCCTTAACTGTCCTTCCTTTCCATGGAAAGCTTGGGAGATGTTTGATGTGAGGTGTAGTTCGCTCACCTCATACCAGAGATATTTAACATTTTTGCCCGTCAAGGTCATTGCTTGGAATGTATCGTGTTTAGTTGCTATTCTATCTGGTTGTAGTGTATGACTTAATGCTCTCCAGTTGAAATCAGCATGTTGATCAAACCTTATTTGTTATTACAATACTATTGGAAGGCTAGTTATTGTTAAGCAAGGTCAGTGTAATCCTCACATGTTATCATTTGAGAAAACGGATGCCCTGTGTTGCAACTTTTGGGGGCTTTTCCGTCATCTCTTTGATTTTTCTTAATATTTCAAGTTTTTTTCTTTAATTAATCCATTTCTCTATTTCAAAGTGAAATGCTGATGGGTATTTTCAGAATAACGAAAATCCCGACCGAAATGAGCTTAAAAGTCCATATCGTAAAATCTTAGTCACAGCTATTGAAGATTTAATGCAAAAAGAACGAGGTTTCCATGAAGAAATGATCAGCAGGCTTCTCAGCAGGCCTTTCAAAATCCCCATTCCTGATTACAGAAGTAATTATTGTCTCTAAATATTTCTTTTTTGTGTTATGTTTTGAACTTGTTGAAATTGATTAGTCCTACTAAAGTAGTGTCACTCCACATCGGCATGGCGGCTGTCGGTTAACCCGTAGTTTCGAACATGTGTTGATATATTAGATAACACATGTCGGTTCTCGGGTCAATTGCTTACTAGCCGTAATTCCGAGCCGATGTCCACTGCCATTGTCTGCTCAACTTATGTATATGCTTTAACATTTTCTAATAATATATCTTCATTTTTCCATTTCGGATTATCAGTGCACTTTCGAGAGTTAAGAATTATGAGAATGACCATTGAGTAACTGGATTTTTTTTTCCATTGATAGGTCCTGGCCGGGCTCGTCCTCTTGGTCTCCGTCATTCAACGGTTCGATGTGCACTGTTTGATCCATATAGTGAAGGAGCCTTGGTGCTGTTTACACCACCGGAACTTAGTGCACATGATGCGCTCAAACTTGATACTACTAACAAACAGGTGAACATCACTGCACTTATCAGTTGGTTGCTCCTGTAGGTATATACTACCACATAATATAAATTAATATGAAGTAGCATATTTCCGATTTGGTTTCTTAGCCTGATGTATTATTGGCTTGTTGTAGGGTAATTACGATATTGTGAACCTTGTTTGACAAAAACATGATGTTTTGTGACTCCTACAAAATTTGAGTTCCTTATATATTGATGTTCGAAAAAAGCTTATGGGAACTTGAGATATTTAAAATTAAATTAGAAGGTACATGTTGTGGTGGATCCAACATTGAGCGCTGTTCTGCGACCTCATCAACGGGAAGGTGTGAAATTTATGTATGATTGCGTCACCGGTGTTCGCATTCCTTCCGCTCATGGTTGTATCATGGCAGATGAAATGGGTTTGGGCAAAACGCTGCAATGTATCACCTTAATGTGGACATTACTTGTATGTCTATTATCATGTAATAATATTTTGTGATACCTACTCATTATACAATAACAGTCAAGGTTTGCACTGAAGAGAAGTGGCCGTCATGTAGATGACATTTCACAACAAACGCAAGTAACGTAACTAGATAGTGCTGTGTTGCTGCTGTCCGTGAGATTGTTAGTGTTTAAAGTTTATAGCTGAAATATGTAAAGGGATACTGAGAAGGAAAGGGACAGTTAATGGTCTATCTAATTTGAGTGGTAGATGGAAGCGGAATACTAAAAACAAATTAGAAGGGTTTTATAGAGTTTTCATTTTTGGAGTGAATTGCAAGAGAATTCCTATGAGGAGCGAATTTTATCCAACAAATATGCTCAAAATATAAAACAGAGAAAATATAAATATTGGAATTGTTAATCAGTTTTAGCTTATATTATTTACTAAAGGCCGGTGACAGTGAAATGAACAAAAATGTAGTGTCCTTATTCTACTGAAGAAAACCAAGTAAAAATGAAATTGTTTAAATTCAAGAGAGTTACTTTAGAGACAAGGACCAGATGCAAAACCGACATTGAATAAGACAGTGATCGTTTGTCCGAGCAGTCTTGTCAAGGTTAATTCTTGCTTTGTTCGTTGTGGGTACATTCATATTTGCATTTTGACCTTGATATAAAGGTATAAAGACTTGTCTGCATGAGGGTAAGGATTAATGATCATCCTTATTCACACCATGAAAGATATAAATTATTAACATTTTATATAATTATTAAATAAAAAACACGCAATTATCTGGTCCAATCAATCATTATCGTTTTATGGTGCAACTTTCGGAAAGCAAATTCCGGGTTGTTTAAAAATGCAACTTTCCATTTCAGAAGAATTTATGTCTCAAATGCTATTTGGTAGGACCTTTATGAATTTACAGAATTGGGATAAAGAAATTAGAAAGTGGCTCGGCGGACGAGTGAATGCATTACCCGTGGATTCGGGAGGGAAAGATGAAATTGACAGGAACTTAGGTTTGTCTGATATATTGTCTGACATTTCTGGATCTCTTTACAGCTTTTGTCGTTAGTGTATCTCAGCTAATATTAGCAGATTTGAAATAACTTCGTTTTTTTTTTTTAAAAAAAAGTAGTAGGGAAAATCGTTGAATAATATATATTTTTGTTTACGTTATTTCAGAAAAGTTTATGTCTCAGATGGGTGTGCGTTGTCCTACACCTGTACTCATTATTTCCTATGAAACTTTTCGTCTTCATGCTTCCATTCTATTGCAAAAGGAAATTGGATTAATTATTTGCGATGAGGTTTATTTTGTATTCTAATATTTCTCTATTTCTTCGCTACTATGAAGTGTAGTCAGTCTAATAGTTAGGATTATCAGGTGTTTTATCACATTATATATATTCTTAAGTGCGTAGTCGTAGATTCATTTCATATTCATATTATTAATCGTTGGTGGCAATTTACTGATGGATCATTATCTACTCATTACTTCTTAAGTTTCAAAACATTTTTTCAAAGTCTTTTTGTTGCTATCGCTAGTAGCAAACCCAATTCGAGTAACTCACAGAAATGAAAGGTATTATTACGGTAAATTCCCATCCCTTTATATTCTTGTGCTCTTTCTCATTGTGTTGTTTATTGATTTGTACCGTTATTTTTTTTGCCATATTGATTTGCACACTTATTTTTACCGTTCGTACTTAATGCATTGTTTGTCGAATATGTATCAGGTTTAGTTACAAAGGTTATTATCTCAGGGTCACCGATTGAAAAATAGCGATAATCAAACATATCAAGCACTTTTTGGTTTAAAATGTGAACGACGAGTACTTATTTCTGGCACACCAATACAAAATGATCTCTTGGAATATTACAGGTTGCTGTAGTTTTTGTGGAATATCAAAAACTTCTTGTGAAGTTCGGAGAACACTTTCAATTAAGCATTATTTCTCATAATCTATCAAGGTCATATAACAATTCATTAATGATGAATCTGATTAAGGTACTCCATGATTGATTGTCAGTTAGAAAATTATCATCCACAATGAAACTTTTAATCACTTCTACTTCCAGTCTGATAAATTTTGTCAATCCTGGTTTGCTTGGAACAGCCTCGGAATTTAAACGACGTTTCGAAAATATTATTCTCCGAGGTCGAGATGCCGATGCGACAGATGCGCAACGCGAAAAAGGTGATACTGCACTTACTGAGATGTCATCCATCGTCAGTAAGTGCATCATCAGAAGAACATCCGCATTGCTCACGAAATATTTACCGGTACAATATTTCATCTATTTTAGATAGGTATGCTAAGCGTTCATATGAAATCATTTACTGCATACCATGTAATGAATTTGTTTTAGGTCAAATATGAGCTCATTATTTGTTGCAAGTTAACAGAATTACAAGAGAAGTTATACAGGCAACTTATCAGTGCATTTTCAAAGGGTGGAAAGCAAAAAGTAACTGAAGGCAAGTGTTTCTTCTATTTAGATCTTCTGTTTAGGAAGAGCTAAGTTTTTTCTCGTGCGGCAATTAATAGATCAGTAGTACTAATAGTATTAATGGATTTAAAATATTCTCGTTTTCAGGTGATAAAATAACAGGAACGGCACTGTCATTCATCACAAACTTGAAGAAATTATGTAATCATCCGCAATTGATACTTAATAAATGTCAAAAGAAAGAGGAAGGATTTGAAGGTTTTATTCGATACTAATCAAAGACAACTATTTAATTTGTTAACTTTAGTAACTTATGATACTAATAATGATCACATTGCATATTTTCTAGATTGCTTGAAACTATTTCCCGGAGAATTTGGAAAGAAATTCGAGCCAGCATTTTCTGGAAAAATGAAAGTTCTGGATTACCTGCTGGCAGCAACAAGAGCCACTACAAATGACAAATTTGTTCTGGTATCTAATTATACACAAACGATTGATGCATTTGTTGAAGTAAGCTTCGGAATTTATACCTCGCATGGTAAAAATAACATACGAATGATGTGGTAAATTTAGTGATGTTTGGTATGATATTAAAATAATTAAATAGGTCGATTTGTGTCAAAATTAATTATTGATGAAGGTAGTTTGTTTGATCTGGGAATTTAGTTGTCCAAATTATTCTTAGTGGCCTATTATAATGTCCTGTTGTGCATGCTATATTTAGGAGCGAAAGAAAATGAGCATTAAATGTGCAGCTCGATGATGATTTTATCATATAGAAAACTTGCAGCTTTGCCAGCTTCGTCGCTATCCGTATATTCGTTTGGATGGAACCTGTACAATTAAGCAGCGTGCGAAATTAGTAGAGAAATTCAACGATCCCGAGGTTACATTTAATTGTGATCTTATAAAGCTTACAAGATTCATGCTTGAACCACCATTGGAATTTTTCTTCACAAAATTCATGATTTAATCATTTATACAATAGTGATTTTCTGAATCATATCTGAATTCTTGAACCCTGCACTCTTGAACCTTGTTTGAATGGTGAAAGAGATAGCCGAGAAAATCAGAACATTGTTTCGAAGGAATAGGAAAAATAAAATTTAACAGATAGACAGACATAAGAAAGGTATATTTAAATTTGGAAGTTTAATTCATCATTTAAAATCATAGTAGCTAACAAATTGAATAAGCGTTACACTTCAGAGTGTCGAGTATGTATTTTTGTTATCATCAAAAGCCGGTGGTTGTGGTTTAAATTTGATTGGTGCGAATCGGCTTATAATGTTTGATCCGGATTGGAACCCAGCAAATGATGATCAAGCGATGGCTCGAGTATGGAGAGATGGGCAAAAGAAAAACTGTTTCATCTATCGGTTGTTGTCAGTAAAGTTTTACTCTTATTCGTTTACTAAATATGTTCTAATTTCTTATTTTCCTGAACAGTAACTGGGTGGCAGTCAAAGATGCACAGTAAACGCGTTGTAGTCACAGATTAGAATTTCTGTTACTAGAGCAGAGATATATGTTTGTCTAGTTTGCGGGTAAATGAAGCTATGAGTGATATTAGGCATATGTCTAATACATTAATAATTAAAAAAAATAATTGCAACCCTATAAATATTAAAGGCTTTTAAATCATATATTGTAGTTATTTTTTTTTTTTTTTCTTTGTATGATAAAAATCTGAAGTGAAAAATCAACGAATTTGTGAAATTTGAAAAAGAAGGTTTGTGCGTAATGAGTGATATGATCTGATATGATAGATCCTGAAATACAGAAACATAATTATAATATTAGTAGTCAAGATGGAAAATATCGGTAAGGATTAATGTTGGCAAAGTGAATTTGAGAATTAGGTTTTCGTTTTTTTTTTTTCAACCGTTTAGTTGAAACAAAGATTTAAATTAATAAAAAAAAAAAGTAATGAAATGAATGCTTTTGTAGATGGTATAGTAATTGTTCACTACTTGTTGTTACTGACACAGTTGGGTGGGATATTTTAACCCTGGAATTTGTTATTTAGGAACATTTCTATAATTTCATGGAGTTAAGAAAAGCATGTAAAAATAAGGTTTTGAATTACCTGGACTTTGGAAACATCAGTTTGAATCTTTGTAAGAAACAAGAATAAAACTTTTGTATTGGAAAAAGATTTCGGCGAAAGAATGAAGGGGTCTTGGCCGGAGATGTTTGTTTAGTTCAGTTTATTCTATCTCATCCTTTCTTTAAAAATTTAGTTGTGGGTTTGGAAGGTTTGGAAACTCTTTACCGTAATATATTTCAAATAAATGCTATTTTGATCTGGTAATGTAGTTGGTGTAGCTGAGAATGAGCATCGACAGGTAAATTTTGACTATTATCTATTTGGATCATTATGAAAATGGAGGTTAATAAAGCTTATAAAGTTTCTTTTATTTTAAAAACCGCAAAAAGATGTTGACAACATAGGAAGCAATTAAATGAAACTTAATGAAAATAAAAGAATTTCAAATGGCTGGAAAAAAATGAACTGTACAGAATGACAGAACCATAGAGTGTGTTGCTATATTTTCATTTTTGGAATTTCATTTCATATTTGCCTTTTTGGAAAACATTTTCAAATTTCAGTTGATAACTTTGCTCAGTAATATGCCTTTACAGACTGGTAGTATCGAGGAAAAAATGTTTCAACGACAGGCGCACAAGAAAGCACTGTCATCCTGTGTTGTTGACGAAATTTCTGATGTGGCTCGCCATTTTAGTAAGGATCAACTACGTCACTTATTTGATTTGAAAGCAGATGTCGCATCAGACACGCATCATTCGTGAGTTTTCATTTTTGGCAATTGCTGAAGCTTCTATATAATCACAGTGAGGTATGTGACAACATTTTTCTGGAAGGAAGATTTGTATCCATGTATTATTAGAAAATATTTCGTATGATTGTTGTTGAAAATATCGATTTCAAATATCTGGTTGAATTGTATCAAATTAATACTATATTCCTAGATTGAAATGCGACCGGTGTGTAAATGGTATCGAATATAGGGAACCTCAGGAACATGCTGATACGAACTCTGATCTCAGTGATTGGTATCATGTTCAAAAAGATGTACGCAAAGTACCGGACAAAGTGACTTTTTTGAAATCTCAATGCATATTTTTTTATTTTAGTCGTCAAGGTATCATTAATTAAAGTATTATCATATGATGTTTACGTGCAGATAGATATCATTAAAAGAGTAAAAATTATTCGGATTTAATTCTTCTGGATTTCTTTTTTTTTTTTTTTTTTTCATTACTTTAAGCCAATAATTTTAGACATAAGAACTTTTAGGTGCTGAAAAGAGTCTTTGACTGTGGAGCCATTACATTTGTCTTTCATCAGAAATCGCATGACGTAAGGAACGAAACATTAAAAATAGAGGACGAAATTAAAGAAATAGAGGAAATTAAAGAAGATCAAGTGGAATGAAAGAGAACTAAAGTGTTTTGCTTCTTTTGAATTTCTTTCGGATTTTTTGATCTGACTTTTCATCCTATATATACTGTTTATAAATTTGCATAAACTGAATATTTTACATCACATTGCATACATATGTTAACCAACTAACGCTCATTGTGAAGAGTTGTAACAGTGTTATTTGGAGTTAGGGTGGAAAAAAATCACAAAGTGGAATCTCTGTAACATTGAAAAACATCATGAAATAATTCTTTCATACCATGAAAGAATTATTTTTCTTTCTTTTTTTACCACAATAAATATCACATGAAGTATCATAATTTATTGTCATAAATTGATGAAAAAGCAAATATATAAGAAATCAAATTTTACTTAGAAGTAGTGAAATTCATAGCTTAGCTTTACTGAGAATGAGATTAGTGTGGAAGAGGTAAACGAAAGGTTACATCAGATGGTGCTTTTCTGTACGAAATGAGTATCATCAATGTTTCTCGATTTGAGACTAAGAGTGGACCACTATGACATCCAGTGGAGTTAGCCTAGTGCCGAGTTTAGCATAGAGCAAAGTCTTAGAAAGGCTATAATTGTCCATTATTGGCCAGATGAATATGTCCTAGCCTCTATACCAGTGATTGATCTTGTGATCAGTGTAATCGATATTTAGGATAGTGCGGAAGTAACTGATAGAGCCAGCTAATCAAGGTTAATGATCCATAATTCTGAACTATATAGAAGAGTGGATAGTATGATCACTCTGTATTATTTTTCTTCTGATGCTTATTGCGGTTTGTTTCATACTTTTTTAAATGAAATTTCCCGAATGCTTCTCATTCCTCTTGTCAATCTCTCGTGAAATGATATTTCCTGAAGAGGTAAATTGTTGGACTAATTCAAGTTTAGATGAGTTTATGGGTACAGCAGCATTTTTTCTTCTTTAAATTGACGTTCAGTGCAAAAAGCTCTGCAGTTTCTACAAAAAACGTTTAGTGTCCAGTGAGGGCGGTATTGTCTGCAAGGAATAAATAGTTCCCGGATAAGTTGATAATAGAGATTTGATGTGTGCTTTCAATTGTCTAAGATTTGAGTAGACTTCTGGTCGATGTGATATCAAGTTTTCTTTATCGAAGTATCTTGAAAGTATTATGCTAAAAAAAAGTTGGTGCAAAGATGCATGTCATTCATTGTCATATGTGACATGACCGCCTGATCATCATGCATTTTGAGGAATTCAGGAAGATATGCTAATCCTTGCAAAATTTGTCATAAGCTTTTTCTGTTTACGAAATCAACAAAAGTTGCTTATGAACATCACAAGTCTTTCTGATACCTGGAAAACTACATTTGCTCTCAGATGACATGCTTCTGCAATAGTGGACATTAGTCCTGCAAGTTCATCAAGAATTTCTATAAGGAGCAAAGTGACATCTTTAATAATTTAAGGTGATGACCTTTTATCCTTCCTTCTCATATAGTTTAGTGATGATTGCGCCTCAGAAACTCGTGTGGAAGTTCGCTTTACTCCCAGCAATCCAAAATAAATTCCGGAAATTTAGCATGAAGTGCTTTGCTGTCATACTTTCAGGGTTCGGATGAAATTACGTGAATTCCGGATGTTTTATCAGATTTCAATTATTGTATACCTTTGGAGAGTCTCTTCCAGGTCAACGGGTTACGTCCAGTTCAGATTGTTAAGTAATATGTTGAACTTTTGATTGCCTGTGAGATTGCAAAATGCATGGACCATTGGTTGAGAATGGAAGATTTATCTGTGCGGAAGGATTAGCCATGAAGAGGGTTGCAAACCTGAACGTAAAGTGTTTTCAAACCGGTTACCGGTATCTCTCTATGATTGAATCTTCTGTGCTAGATTGATCCATTGCTTATTCTTGATGTCCCCAAATTTTTGCTGCAAGACGAAAAGTTTTTTTTTCCTGAATTAGCAAAATATGCTTGATGTTGTATATTTCTTTGAGCTTCTTTCATAGAATGTCACCTTTCTTAGATTTGGCCGAAAAGTGAAAGTTGAGTTTGCATTGCTCAAACTAATGAATGGTCTGTTTAACTGCAAAGTATGCTGGATACAGTGTCACATTTTGTTGACATACAGAATAACAGATAATGTGACAATTGATGTGATCTTCACTGAGTGACATCAACTGATGACAAAGATCGGAAAATATTTATCATTTCGATGAGCGTAAAATTTTGACGGTCTTTTTTCCTATATTTAATAAACTGAAGAGGACAAGGTATGAGTCATTTCTTCGAATGTGTTTTCTCGGGAAGAAATAAGAAAATAATTTCTTATCAAAGAGAATTGACAATTAGTAGAATAATAATATCACGTACCGATAGCATTTTATACTTTGTCTTTGTTTTTGAAATGAGATTGTTGTGGTGATAGTAAACACAGAAAGTTCATATACAAAAGTGATATTCGTTTGCGAGTATTGAAATATAATTGGTATAATGTTAGAGAAAACGTGAAAGGCTTTCTTGGAGATCTGATCTTCAGTATGTTTTATAAGTATTTAAGTATTAGCTTGGAGTTTAATTAATAAATGAATGACAAGCAAGAAACTAGAATTAGCATAAGGAATTTTTTAGATTGCCAAATAGGATAGTTGAGTAAATTAGACAAGAGATAAGATAGTGAAAAAGATATGAACTTTGTATGATCTCTATTATCAAATGTTCTACACATGATGATGAAAGTATTGGAATCTTAACTAAAAGTAATAGAAAGTGGAAAGTATAGAAGATGAAATTTAAGTCTATCAAATTTAAGACTATCAGTCAGAAAGATTCATGAGAAGAGTGAATGATCTTAACTTCAAGCTAACTAGCAAAACTAGTTCATTAATTATTAGCATATGCATATCGTATTACTTCCAAATAGCGATGAGGAGCAAAGTATCGGTCATTTTTTAAGTTCCTAAATTGTAGATGTTATGCTTCTAGATTTCCAATGGTTTTAAGTTCCTAAATTATAGATATTATGCTTTTAGATTTCCAGTGGTTATTCACAACTACTATTCCTGAATACCAATGATATCAAGAAGACTACAGTTTTCATTGTGCTCCAGTGACAGTCGACCAGACCATGGCATGATGTTCTAAAGAGACCATTGCTCTGTGAATGTTTGCGCACCCGTCTGTCTGCCTGTCTGCGTCTGTATATATCTGTGTCCTTATTTGTCTGCACTCATATATATCTGCGTCTCTGTATGTCTGCATCCATGCATGTGTATGTATGCCGCATATAAACTGATTCGTACCCAATGCGCTTCGGTCGATGAGTGCTTAATGGGGTGGTTCATTTCTCCCGTGTAGTCGCGGTGTTTTTCTCAGATTTTTTGGTAATTGTTAGTGAGGGATGAGTAATGCAAGAATATGCAAAGTAATATCATATCTTTAACAGTTATAGTATTACAAATGTGTGATGAAAGTGAACCATCTATTGGGGGTCGTCCCATCTCGGAGATGAAAGTGGTGGAGTTAAAAGAGGAGTTAGGAAAGCGGGGATTATCAAAAATTGGCAACAAAAATGTCCTTCATGAACGGCTGAAAGAGGTTAGCACTTTTTTTCTTCTAAATAATATATGAACCAACTACTCTTGTATATGTGTCGGTGAGCATTGGATATCATTCTGTAGTGTTGATCTGATATGGCTTGGGGATGACTAAGCATTCTGCGTTTTGAATATGGTTATATTTTGAAAGCAAGCTTAATTATTGTTAATTAACTAGTAAAGAAACAGTAATTGTATTAAAATAATACAGCGATAATATACAGTTAATATAGCGCCACTAATATAGCGATAATCCACAGTGAAATGCTCATTCTTGTTAGCTATGCAGTTTAATAGATCCTTTGTTTGCCGATTTGTTGTCATTATGAAGCAGCTTAACCGTAAAGTTCCATAAACATTCCTTATATTCGAGTTCATGTTGGTATTTTTTTTTTCGATTTTATGCATTTGTTATTTATGCTTATAACTTGCCAGGAATTTCAGTATTTGGTGACGGAGGTAAGTGCGAAGTGTGAAAACGAGGTACAGTCAACAGCTATAGAAAGTCCACAAAGAGATATGGTAAGTAAATTTCGACTCATGGTAGAATATTTTGAAAGGTTGATTCGAATTATTTGCTTCAACTGTTAATAACGAGCATTACAGACTTCACCGCCGAACCCACTGGTTGCGGAATATTTAGCTAAACAGCAGACCGCTTTACGTGAAGCACGCAAAGATGCAGGTTTGCATTTTATTGATTGAGTGGAGGATGCTTTCATACTTTATTCTAAAATTTATTATGCCACGTCAAAAAGAATAAGATATTAGAAAAAATATTGAAAGAACGAGTAAGTAATCAAGTTGATGACATAATTTGTAGAAGCAGTGCGGAGAGCTTCGTCAGGAGATGATGCATCGCCAATACGTGAGAAGTCAATTTCTGGTATACGTCGCTCTCGACGTGGACGTAGTACAGCTACTGTTGTTGAGAAACCTGCAGAATCTGTGGTAACCAGCGAAACTGAACAGGTTATAACTTACGACAGTAACATGCATGCTTTAATTTAATTACTGGTGTCCGGAAGTGAAAATGGAATAAAGCAATTAGTCAGAGGAACTTCTATAAAGTGACGAGACTGACATTAATTTTAAATTAAACTTTCCATATCATAATTGCTGTTAAAGGACCCGATGGAAGCGGACAGTTTCCAGGAGAGTATGGAAATGCAGTCTAAAAGGCATAACCTAGAGGAAACTGAGAATGATATCAGTACTCCACTTGAAGTTTTAAAAAAGGAAACAAACGTCAATGTCGATCTTATGTCGACAGCTATGGAGATAAAGACAACGGAAGAAAGCGAACGGACTGAAACAGAATATGATGAAACGAGACTGATCAGCGATCATTCGGTTGATTTGGAAGAGAAATGGCCAGTCAGTGCTAATGTTGTTAGTGAAGGACACGAAGTACAAGAGAAACATGAAGACAAAGATGAAGAAGAGGATGCGGTTTCAGATGTGGCTAGCAGTGATACTGGCACATCAAAGTATTTTTGATATTATTTCTTGGGTATTCGGGTTAAGAGATTTTTGATATTCGAGATTTTATAAGAAGACCAGATGTGAGATGGACGCATTTTTAGCTTTTTAGAATTATTTTGGTCATTTATAGAAGTGTTGGTATTAATTTACAATTTTTTTAGCCAGAGTCAAAGTGAAGCAGCAGATGAATCAAGTGCATCTTGGGAGCAAATGCCCGTAGATCTGGAAGAATTGTCGAACCAAGGAGTGGTGAGCTAAAAAGTTTTAGAAAAAAATTTAAGCTAAAAAAAGATTTAGGATGAGAATACGAGGTAATCTCATTCGAATAGTACAGCCACACACTGAATTAAAACACCTTTCAAATTACCTTTATCAAATTATCTTTAATATTCATCATGATATATCTAGCACTCCAACTTTATGACCCTAATTAAACATAGTTGAAATGCACAAAAATTAAGCTCATCTGTTCCGAGATAGCATGAATGGTATGCAGGAAATGAAATTTCATTGTCTTATTTACCGATTTATCCCTTTAGCATTTGTAGTTGTATGTTTATAGGTAGAGGCGGTTGACAGTGGATCAGTGGAAAAGATTGTAGAACATTCAAAGGAGGCTACAACCATACAGAATAATGGCAATTTTTTCTCTATTTTCGAATTAGTCTAAAAATATTCATGCACTATTTTCTTTCTTTTTTTTTTTTTTATAAAAAGTGTATGGTTGTATCATTGATAAGAAGGCATACTGTAGTTCATCACCAGTTTGCAGTCATTCTCTCATTATCACTTGGTTATTGTTTACAGTTGATTTACCTCAATACACATCATTTCAGCAAAAGCAGAGAAAAAACGTCGTTGGAAACCATCTGAAACAGCATCCTCTACAAACAATGTCATCACGATTTCAGTCGTAAAACATAAGGAAGAAGAAATCGAAATAGATGAACAAGAAGATATGCCCGACACTCATACTTCCGCTATATCTGATTTCAAAGAAGAGCTGTCTGATACAAAAGATAGAATGGAAGAGCTGGATTACGAAGAACCTGTGCAAAGTTCAGTTGCCGAAGTAGCTGAGGAAGTTAAAGTAATTAATAATTTTTATTTAAATAATATGCATTTGCAATTTATATTAAGAAGTTGTTGGTGTCAAATGTATCTGACAACAACATATTGCAGGCTGCTGAGGAAATATCTGAAAGACGCAAAGAGAGAATATTTGAAAGAGTTGATAGGCATGCGAAACGCTCAGGTTTGTATATTAGAACTTTCAGCTGGTATAGAATAGTCCAGGTGACTTGTGCGAAGTGATTATGATGATTGGTGAAGTTGAACATAGTAAGCATGTTAGTCGAGAGAGTCAAACAGTAAAAACTTTTTAAGAAATCTGATTCATAAAATGCGGGAACAAAAGATTTATGACCAGCAAATCATCATCGATTCAGCTAGAATAAATGCGGCAATGTGATTATCAGCTTAAGATGTTCTTGCATAGCTGTGTTAGATATTAGGTCGCTGCATTATTGGGTATTGGATCAAGCTTGTTCATTTGTTCTCATCTTGCTGACAATTAGCTTTCCGTTTTGCGTGGTCCTTTTTAATGTGGTTAATTATAAATTTTTTGCTTCATTTCAAGTTAGGGTTACGACTAATTTGCCTTTTTTATCCATGTTCGTCATTTCTTTAGACATAACTGAATTGGAAATTAAGATTAATCTTTTTATAATTGACTTCCAGAAATGCTTTATTTTTCCAGGGCCATCATCTGTATCCAAGCGTTCACCTTCTTCGGAGAAACAACTAGAAAGTCATACAACAGTGGATGGTTTTGTACGTGAACGAAGAGTATCACCAGCGCGATATCCAGTTAATCAGGTGAATCTCTTAAAGTTCCTAAACCTGTAGAGCTTAACCGAAATAATACGCTGTATTTCTGAATTTGCAATTATTAGAGATTTTCGCATTATAAATTCTTTGTATTTTGTTTCTCATTTAGAATATTTTTATAACATGATCTTTTATTATGAATCATACAACGAGAATGTGTTTCTTGCAAAAAATTTACATGGTTTTAAATAAAAAATTAAAAAAAAATGAATCACAATTTTTGTGCACTGCTTTAGGTGATTATGATAAGACAGCTTACTCGTCCTTACACAGTTAAACAGCTACAGCAGCTACTTTCAACTTTCGGTACGGTAGTTGAAGGAGGTTTCTGGATCGATAATATTAAATCCACATGCATTGCAAAAGTAATTTTTCTAATGATAAAAATATAAAATTTTCTTACTCGTAGTTGTTATTATTGTAATTGTTTTGTTTCCAGTACTCAACTGTGGAAGAAGCTGTTGTGGCCCGAGGACGCCTACATAATGTTGTATGGCCACCTTGCAGTCCAAAAACTTTAAAAATAGATTATTCAGATGATGCAAATGTAAGAATTATTCATTTTTAATCTTCGGAATTATTGGTTATATGGGTTTCCTGCAGTCTTGATGTTAAAGGCCTTTTTATTTTAGCTTACTAAACATCTTCTTGCCGATCATTCACAAAGTGAAGAAACAACAAAAGGAAACACAGAAACAGCAAAGTCACCTTCAGGAAACTCAGCTCCGACTCTTCGTGTATCATTGTCTGTTGACGAAAAGCGTAGACATGTGCTACCAACCAATCAGGATGAGTTATCGAAGGATTTGGATAAAAAAGAACGAGAAGGTCGTGGACACTCACATCGAGGACGGAAACGATCAGCGTCACCAATAGGAGTACTAATCTTTAAGTCCATATATTTTAAGAAAAATTTTATCATGTCAAATATCTTGTTTCTATTAGATCATTTTTGTATCTTTTAATTATACCCGACAAGTTGATATCCCCTGCAGTATGATTTTTTTTCTCTTAAAAATTGTAATTCACAGCATTCGGAAGCTAAACGGCCGCGTGAACAAAGATCGCCATGGAGGAATGAACGTCGACGTGTTACTGCTTCACCTGAACCAAAACCGAAAGGTTAGTTTTGTGCAAGTTTTACTATTTCGGTATAAATGCTTAAATTAATAGAAATAGAAGAACTTTTCCTTCATTTGCAGAGCCGGAGAAGCGTGTTAAAACGGCGGACGAATTATTTTTGAAGACAAAAACTCAGCCGGCTGTCTATTATCTACCGCTCAGTGAAGAACAGGTTCATTTTAAAGTTGCTTGAAAAAAAGATAATTCTTTAATTCTTTCAGTGCTCACATATTGGTCGATATATATTTTACTGCATCATCCCTTACACAGTTCTGGTGTTCTCATTAGGTTATCAGTGATGAATATTATTTGACATTCATGTAGTTGTTGTTTTTCATTAGTTTAGATTACTGAACGGATCAAACGGAAAGCTGCAGAAGCAGAATTGGCCAAGAAAGTTGCCCAAAATGGGACTATGAAGAGGAAGGAGAAAGATGAGCCATCGAAAGAAAAAACTAATGCGAGCAAACGTGTCAGTGCTAGATCTCCACCGTCACGTCGACGCTCACGCACCCCACCATCCCGTCGGCGATCACATACTCCTGGGGGGCAACGTGATCGGCGACATTCCAGATCCCGATCACCACGCCGCCGTCGTTAGGTCGTCGCGCCCCGTAAGGTGACAAATGATGCAGCCAGTATTTTAAACTTTCTAATCTTTTTTACTTTACCCTTTGGTTCACTTTATAAGGTATTTTCGTATTTTGAAGCTCTTTTGGTTTTCATTTGTCTAAACCTCCCATCATTTTTATGTTCGGAAAATTCGGCCCTTAACTGCGCAAAATTTCAGTAGTTCCGCTGCTCATCTCGTCTACCTTCCTTTCCTTGCACTACCGTATTCTCCTCTCCCCCACTCTTAACACGTCTTCTGGTATCTTATGTATCTTTTACTTATTTAGCTCCTTTTTAAGGTACAGAATTCCCTCTACCTTTTATTTTTGTTGAAATTGCTCGTCAGGCCTTCAGAATTCGCTGCAGTTAATGTTTGCGGAGCAAGTACAGGACTGATGAGCAGAAATGGAAGTGATGTCGTGAACAAACTGTGAGACGCGGTCTCATCGCAACTTCCTCTGAATTCACTATCGAATACGCAGGAAAAAACGATTTCAGCTGATTCAACAGCAAAAACCACGTCGTCACAAGGTCTCAGCCTTGTAGATATAGCAATATCAAAGGGCAAAGATGTTAAAGCATATTTGCATTAAAGCTGACATAGCTGTGGTTTATTGGGCACAAAATATTACGTATGGATGTTGCTCATTCGGTTGCACGCTACACGTGTGATTCATCTACGACTCACGTATCGTTGTTGAGCAAGTGTATGGTTCTCTCAGTTTGTTTCTAATAAAATCGTTTTCATACTGTTCCTGTTTTACCTTATACAATCTTGTGTTTTGTTTCGTAGCATTCCTTCCTGATAATTCTTTCCAAATGAAACCGAACATTCCTACACTTATAGTAATGCAACCCGATTTAATCTTAAAAAGGTATCATTAAAGTCCGTTTGCACATTTCACTTAGATTATATCTGTTTTTGGAACAATGGTATATCTAAAAAAACGGTAGTTTTAGCTTTGGAAGTTATTTTTATCTTCCTTGATAGTATCAAATACCAAGCAAAATGAATCCTCAAATATTAAATTAACTTTGACACATTCCTGTTGAACCACTTAACATCAAGCACTTCCGAACTACCTAGCTTCATGTGGTTATGGTTGGAAGTTAGGTGTTAGTGAAGTACATTCAGCAAATTTGTTGTTTATGCAGAATGATAATAATTTGATATCTGATACCTTTGTGGAAGTCATCGAAATGATATATCGATGATCTTCCAAATCCGCCTTTCATTTCATTGGTAAAAAGCTCAAACTGAATGTCCTGTACTGGTGTTGAAATTAAATGTCTTGTTGACTTGGTGTCACATAGAGTGTCAACCGTTGATCAGCATGTCATTGCCTCAAATGTGAAATGCAGTTTATATTCCTAGAAGTCGTCAAGGTGAGGACAACTTCATCAGATGACTATTAGAGGATTTTATGAGAATGGATACTTCTGTCCCTGTGTGTTTGTCTTTACCTTTTTTTATTTTCTATCATATTTTTTTTTTTTTTTTCAATATCTGCTTACCTTGCTTATTTGATAATTTGCAAGTGCTTACTTATTTATTTGTTTAATTGAGAAATTCTAAATTAAAAAGAACGAATAGGAATTATTTCAGTAATTTTTTTTTTCGGATTCTCAGTTTTCAAAATTTTAGTAAGTAAAAGGAAATTTCGCTTCTAGAACTTAACTGTATTAATTGATTACAATTTGATCTATTGATAACATATAAGGAAGATAAATAGAAGAAATGGAAAAGTCATAAACATTTACTTACTAAATGTGAATGATTGAGAAACGAAAAAATAATCTGTGTTATTTCAGACTTTTTAAAGCTTTTTTTCTCGATAACATTCAACTTTTGATAGAGAAAGTTGTAAATTTTTCATCGATAAAAAAAAAAATTCCACAAAAATAGTCGATAAAAAGTGTAAATTCCGGAAAGATTTTCGTAATTTTCTGGAATAAAATAATTATCATTATAAATGAACTGAAAAACGAATCAAATTTGTTTATCAAATTTCACTTTTTTTCAATTTTTCAATCGCTTCACGTGCATGCTCAGCATCCTGAAGAATTAATTTTGATAGCACTGATTCCACTACCGGTTTTGTTAAATCCGGACCATTAAAATCCAAGCAAATAATATAATCAACGATAGTTTTTTGAGAATCTTTTGGATGAATTCGAAAACGACCACTTCCAAGCAATAAATTACCTCTAAAATGTGATAAAATTTTCAAATTCAATGCATAGAATGAAATATAACTAATTCGTAATGAAATTTGCTATCAAATTTTGAATTATCATTTATCACATTATCATTATCACTTTAATCATTCACTTACCTAGTTTTCTTCTTATACCGTTCTACTTCATCAGTATCATAACTTGTTGCTGCTTCAATAATATCATCATCAATACGTCGATAGATACGTGTTGTCACAAAATCTCGTCCTTTTATCAAACCGGAATCCTTCATTGCATACTAGAAAAAATTCTTATCCTTATCAATTATTTTTGTACAAATAAATTAAACAATATATCATTAAGGAAAGTATACCGGAAAAAAAATTCCAGAAAAACTTTGTACTAACTTAGTCAGCAATCATTGATATTATTATCTATTAGTGATGTAATAATTTCTATCAAATGACATTTTTCATTTTTTTTTTTTGTTTATTTAAAAAAGTTCACGTTTCACGTGACAACAAGATAAATAGTATAGAGTATATATTTTGGAATATTTCTCTCCCTAATGTACTGGTATTACTTAGTCATCAGTAAAAAAAAAAATTTAAAAGATTACGTGAATAATTTCGACGTGAGGCGTAAGTATAGCAACTTTTTTAGCCATTGATGTATTTTTATTCCTATATGCTACTTCTTCAAAATTATCCCAATGCTCGAAGAAAAGTTGCTCACGTGGCATATCCAAAATAGTCTTAAAAATTTCCTATTTTGGATTACAACAATTATATAACATACATAAAATCTAGTATATCTCATTTTATCAATTCTATTCATAAGCAAATGATAGAATAAAAATTTTACCTATAAAAATGTATACAGGTAAAAAATAAAAATAAGAAAAAAAAAAAAGAAAAGGTAAACAAACCCTAAGTGTGAAAATTTTTCCAATTGCAAATCTTTTTGAATATATTTTATCGATTTCATTATTACCCTTTAATTTCCATCCTTCCATTGTTTCAAATTCAGGCGTATTTATAACATTTAACGTTTCACTCATTGCATTTGCTGCATCAGTTAGCGCTTTTTCATACTGTAAACTTTTTGCGCCACATCATATTAAGCAATAATTTTGCTACAAATGATTAAATTCATATAGCATTTTGCTCAAAATTATTTTCTCAAAATTAGTCAATATGTAAAAGTAAAGAAATTACGTGTAGGTTTGATGTGCCATAACTTCAGTCGTAACTCACGTACGTTTATCATCAGAAATTAGAACTTAGCTTATAATAATAGGTCCAACGTAACGTATTAAAACATATGAAAGTAAAATGAATTATATGAACACAACGATATGACATTCCGTAAATGTATACACAAACAGATACCTTTTTATGTTCCGGTTTAAGAGTATCGGTAACACCGGCAACTGTAACTGAAGCAGTCATTGTTATCCTTTTTTCTTTAATAAGCAAAAATAGTAATCAATAATAATGATAATAATAATGATAACAATAATAATAAGAATAACATAGCTATTATAATAATATAATAATAGTAATAATAATAATAATAAAAGAAAACTTTAATAGATCATTTAAGAGAATAACAACAATAATTAATTAATCTATCATTGATATGATCGTTTAACTGAAAATTCAGAAATTTTGATACAATCATTCTAATTTGGTAGTTACTGTAAAATTATATTAATTTAGTTTTAAAGATTTTTTGAAATAGTTTTATGTATGACTTCGACTGATTAACAAATTGTCAAGAAATCTCAGGATATCTGGAGAAAAAATCCCAAATATTATTATACCACAAACTGATCTTTCTTTCTTTTTCCCTCTCTCCCTCTCTCTCTCTCTCTCCTTATAAATGCAATGGAACATTATGGTGACAATGTGACAATGTCGCTGTATCTGAGTGAAAAGTATCACTTTGAATACAACAAAATAAGAGCAATGACATCTTTTTTTCCTTTCTTTTTTTTTTTTTTTTTTTGTTCTTTTTGTTTAACTTTTCCAGAAAAAAAAAAAAAAAAAAAAAGTATAAATGGTAATTTATAAAATTGTAACAAAAATTAATCGATCAAATTAATAGAAATTAACAAAATAAAAAGACGAAATAATTGTTTTTATTTATTTATTTTTTAAATTTATTATTGTAAATGAAAAATGATAAATGAACAGAAATCAGTGATAATTTACAAAAAAAAAAGAATTTTTTTTTAAAAATTTGATCAAAATTACAAAAAATGATAAATTGAAGATATTTGATTATTTCGTCGTTTTTTTTTTTTTTTTTTTTTTCGTTTTCTTTTTTTACTCATTAATTAATAAGAAAATTTTTTGTTTTTAATGAAAATTTCAACTTTTATGCAGAAAAAAATTTTTTCGATTCATTTCATTCATTTGTATGTAAATAAACAAGTTTTCATTTTCAAAGAAGAATTAAAAAATAATTGTTTACTGTTTTCTTTTACTTACCAGTATTTCCCGCATTGGAACACCTGCGATTATACCTGGTATTGTCAAGTACTGGTAAGGTGGTATTGTAATAGGGTATTATTTGTATGTCAATGCATGTAAGTGTCTGTGTCTGCCTGTTTGTGTGTATGTGTGTAAATTTTAAATTTAAAATTTCATTACAATTAATGCATTAAATATGTTCTGACATTTCGTTCACTAAATTTCATCTATCTTTTAATGCAGTTTTTTCTTATTTGTTAATTTGAAAAGAAATTTAATTAATTTAAAAAAAAATTTGACTTAGAAAATAAAAAAAAAAAAATGGAAGCGAAACATGAACAGGTTTAATGCGATATAGATGAGTAATTCTATTAAATAAATAACTTTATAAACAAATTTTGTCCTCTAAAAAAAATAAAAAAAAACATTAAAGATATTATTATTAATTGAAAAGTTATAAAAATTAAAAATAGTATTGCTAAAAAAGTGGACGAAATTTATAAATTTGCTTTGTTATGTATATTTCAATTTAATAAGCAATAATTTATTTGAATCGAAACACAAATCAATTGTAAATACACTAATTTACATATATAACAAAAGTTTTGAGGATGAAATTTCAAATGTAAGAAAATCATTTTATTGATTCAAACATTGTTTGAGAAACTAATTTGAATAATCTTAAAATTTAAATTCATTTAGTGTTAACTTCGATCATTTCGATAATTTCTTATTATTTGATTTCAAACTTAATTTCATAGTAATGAAAATACAAAATTTCGTTCGCGATCTTCGTCCCATTTTTGTTGCATTTCAAATTTATCGCGTAATTCCTCCCATCGTTGACGTCTTCTGAAATATTGATTAATTAAAAAAACAAAAACAAAAACAAAAACAAAACAAAAAAAAAAACATAAATCAAAACACACTAATGAATTGACTAGAATCATATATCATTCTAAAATTTATTTATTGCTTAACATACAATAACTGTTTGTGAGCTTCAAATTCCGGATCCGTTTCGGAGTCAGATTCGCTAACATCAGATGTATATCGATCAGCACGAAAAGCAAATGGTGTTAGTGAACGATGATTTCCGGATGATGATGGACCATAATCGGACCAAGATGATGACTCATCACTACTAAAATGAATTCAATGAGAAAAAGAAAATATATATATATGATTTAACCTGTTCTTATTTCAGAATTAATAGAATAGGTATCCGGAAACTCCCCTAATATCAGGATACATATACCTGAATGCATCTTGATATTTCTTTGGTAATGAACCATCTATCTTCTTGCAACTGCATTCTGATATCTTTCGTAATTTTGCGCTCTTCTTACGGCGCTTTCGTCCTTCACTTTCCTTTTCCAGTTTTCGTTTCAATGACGAACTTACCTTTTTCAGGTGCATAAAATTACAAAAACCGCCACGACTACATTCTCTACAATATAATAAAATATTATTATATTGTTACTAAAAATTTTCAATTTTATTATTATTAATAAATGAATAGCTATTACGTCTAACCCATTTTCATACTGTCGGCAACAGGCATCACGGAAATCAGAAACCGGTGACAATTCACAGTGAATCGGTTTACCATTAAACCAACGATTGTTTAAAGCTTTCACTGCATTATTTGCATTAGATTCATGCATGAACTAAATTTAAATTTAAATTTGAAAAGAATTTTTTTTTTTTCAGGTTAAGTTATTTGCAGTTGCTATTTAAGTTATTTACTTTCAATTAACTCAAGTTATTTACACTATTTACTGTTTTACTTAATGTTAACTGACATTTTAAAGTATTCAAGTAAATAATTTACCTTATAATACTTGACTTACTTTAATGTAAACATTGCCAAGCATATGTTCACCAGTATTATCACATACATTCATTTCATCAATTTCACCATATTCTTCATCAATTTCCAAATAAACTTCACGAAAAAACTCGTCAAATTCACGTTGCTCTTTTTCTTTAGGAAAATCTGAAAGTAATAATATCAAAAATATTTTATCTTTTATTGTTGAATCAAAGTGGTAGCTTTTTCTCATTTTAAATTCAATTGTTTTCATTTATTGTTTTTGTTTTTTGGTTTTTCAATTTAAATTCAATCTTTTTTTACTTATTAATTTTTGGAGAAAAAAAATGATCCATAATTAGTTCTTATTTAACTTTTTGCATTAATAATAATGTCAATATTATTGTCTATCAATAATACCTAACAATATGATAAGGTAATATACCTTGACGAATGATACCACCAAAGTGGTAGAAATTTTTCAATAGTATTGTCTGAAATTATTTAAAATTAATTAATTTCAGGCTTTTTTTTTTTTTGCATTATTTAATAAAAAGTTAATATTGTCATTTTATTTATCAAAAAAGAAAAAAGAAAAATATAGTGAAAAAATTTAAAATGGTACTTACCTTACTAGAAGTTGGTCTTGTGTGAAGCCTAGAACACTTATCACCGTGTCGGCATGCACCGATTTTTAGATAAAATGAACAATTTACTCTGTAATTGTTGATAAATTTTTTTTTTTTTTACTTTATAAAACTTTCAGATCGAAGAAAAATATTCCAAAATTTTCAAATGTTTTAATTTAGAAGCAGAATATATTATTTAGTAAATCATTTAAAAGAAATCATAGGAGAGTTTTTAAAACATCTGCTAATTTATTTATTTTTTATCAGATCAATTTATCAGATGTAAATTTTAAACTTAAAATTTAAATTAGATTTGAAGAAGTTATAGGTATAGAAACAAATTTGCACTTTTAAATTTATGGAATTTATCTCAGATGAAATTACTATTTAGATATTTAACTCGAGAAAAGTATCAAATGTAGAGTGAGAAAGAAATAAATTATTGATTAGTAAATTTATGTTTACACGAAATTTTATAAAATCCATAAATTTAAAATATTTCGTATAAATTTAAAATGAATTATCTAAAATAAAAAATTATCTTTTTAAAGTGCAAAACATATGGAATACAAGTGATACTATTCGAGAAAATCTCTCCAACTGACAATATTGAAAAGAAAAATAATTGCATATTTGTTATTTTTTTTTTTCTTTTAAAATTTTCGTTTCAGTTTGATTTTAATAATATTTTAACAGATGGTAAGCTAAGAAGAAAAAATTGGAGAGAAAAAAAATTTGTAAAAGGAAAATTTTATGTGAAATAAAATAATCTATTGAAAGTCGATTTAGCTGAGATAATCTATGACAATTAAAAATTGTGATAAGCATCGAGAGATTGCTAGAGTTTATTAAAATAATAATAATAGAGAATAAATAATTAACTAAATAATATTATAACATGGAAAATAATTAGTAGACAATTAGTTTAGTAATATAATAAAAGAAATAATTAATAAATAATACAATCTAAAGAAAAAGTAATTAAATTAAATTGAAACTTGCTAATTTAGATAAGAGTAATTGATGATATAAAAAAGAAATAATGAAGTTAAATGATACAAATAGTTATTTAATGAGATTATTTTATTTTCAATCATTAAAATATGTTATTTATTTCAGAACAAAAGAAAAAGAAAAAAATAAAAAATGACAGATAAAGAAGTGATAAGAAGTTTCATGAAGAAAGAAAAAAAGTAAACCAAATGAAAGATGAAAATTAAAATTGAAATATACCTATGCTTTTGTTGAGTACTCCATTCTGCTTGCACCAATTCATCATTGTAACATTCGTCAAGCATGCGATTTTACACCAAACAAACATCAAAAAGCAATCTCATCTGTTATCATTGCTTGAAATTTATCAATCAAAAAATGATAAGTTGATAGTAAGTATAACGGACATATGAAATTAAATTTATATCATTCGTTTCTTTTTCTTTTTCTTTTCTTTTTGTTTTCATCATTTCATGCATATTTGTTATGCTCAAATCAATAAACAAAATTATCAATTTTGAATTCAAGTAGTAAATTTAATGAAAGTGAAGTATGAATTAACAAATTAATAATATGAATGAATTGTTTCTTTTAAAGAAAAAATAAATAAATTGTAGAATATTGTGTAATTTCTTTGTTTTGTTTTGTTTTTTTTTTTTTTTTGAACTGGAAATTATGAATATTTTTATAACTTTGATTTATTCATCGCAAAAATGATTGTTTAATGACGAATATTGTTGATAATCGGTTTGATATATTATTGTTGAACTTGTAATTAGTTAAAATAAAATAAAGTTATATGTCTTATCAGTGATAAATGATAAGAATAAAGATAAGAAATGATTTGGAGAAGTTTGAATTCATTACATTAAGCGCATATTTTTGATTAAGCGCAGATGAAATTTAAAATGTCTTTAGGAGGACTTTTTTTCTTCAAAAAATAATCTTTTAAAGTAGCAAAAAAAAAAAAAAAAAGATTCTAGAATAAAATATGAAATCTAATTTCGAAGCTACAATTTTCAAGCCATTCTCCTCAAATAACTAAATTACAAATCAATGCAAATAAGAGGGGACTAATTTATAAAATATCTAAAAATTAGTTGCAAATTCAAATTAAAAAAAAAAAAAAAGAAAAAGAAAAACTTCATGGATGACGAGATTTATGCCCATCCTAATGTAAAATTTATGCTAAAAGAAGATTAGGAAAAAAAAAAAGAGAACAAATAAAAGCTGTATTAGCTAAAAGGGCATCAACTTTGTGTAGTAAAGGAACGACATTGAAATAGGAAGCTATCCTCTAGGCCAAATCAATAATCAGCCTTGGATATGGGTATGGACTTTAGGCCAAACCATTTACACTTCATTTCTTAATCGATTCTGCCATTTCTAAGCTCTCTAAATATCAATGAAATAACTCACCAAACAGCTTCTTATTATACTCAACATCAAAAGTGGAGAAGATAAAAGATCATTCCCATAATTAAATTCATCAGAAATAAGTAAAGCTATGAAGGAAGTAGAAGAAATTAGCTAAATGTTAATTGAATTTAAATGAAAGCTGCTTGTATGCTATTTTACTTAACCTTTGCATATCTTTTGCGAGGGAAATTAGCTATTTCATCTCTAACTTTTATATACCTTATGTTTATGGCCATTATCACACATAAATGTTGCATATTTATTGACAATTTATTGAATGCATTACAGTTTATGAAAATGCCAGCGAAAAAAAAAAAAGAAACGAAAAATCATGAAATAAAAAGATAAGTGCAGATAATATATAAAATAGATAAATATGTAAAAGTAACAAAGTGAAAGATCAGAACCGTGATAGTAGAACTTGAAAAATGAACAAAATTACATAATTTTGTAATCTGAACTAGAAAAAAAAAAAACTCCATTTCAATACTCAGCAATTCTTTTTTTTTTTTTTTTTTTTTTTTTCTAGAAATTATGCATATTTTCTAGGAATTGAAGGAAAGGAAGCAAAACGAAAATATAATAATATATATGGACACATATAATAATGAATATATATGGAAAAGTATTACACAGATTCAGCATCACCTTTGCTGGATGCTTTGTTAAGATCAAGATTTGGATAAAGTATAGCAGGTTTATTGCCAGCTTTTACACGACCAACGAAATCTTTCCATTTTGTTAAGTGCTCCTTTTGATATCGTTCAAGATAGTAATCATAAAGATTCAACTTTTCTAAAAAGAAAACAAATCCAGGACTTGAGATTACATCTGGTTAAACAAATGATCTTTGACGAAAATGAATCATAATCTCATTCTTAGCTAATGTATTTACAAATAATCTAAAGTACCATTTGGTCCCCAGGTGTATATAGATTTCCGTGGTTTTTTTATTACCGGAGACATACTACGACTTTTTGGTTGCGTCGTATCCACTGGTGATTGACTTCGTACTGTTGAAACCGATGAAGAACTAGACGGCAATCTATAAATGAAAATTACAAGTATCATATAAAATATTAGACAAATCAACAGTTATTTTCCTTTTGATAAGCCCTATTTCTCCTTGCACTGTACACTGTAAATTGATTTATGTCCTTACTACATTTTATATCAAGAAAATTTTTGGAAAAGATTACTGCATAGTACGGACTGAAACATCTTGCACCGAAACATGAGTTGCGCGATCAAGACCCGAAATCTGCAACCACGAAATGGTATAATATAAACTATCAACACTTGTAATCACTTCCACATGTTTTTTTAGACGATATTATAATCAAAATATTATAATGTGGATAAGAAATTTATCAAGAAGACCAAGAGTTGGATAGTACTAAAAAAATATGATGAAAAATGTACTTGAAGAAACATGTTAAACACTTCAAGATGTCTCGCCGAATGATTCACATAATTATGCAAATGATTCAGCAACTCATCACAAGCATATCGGAATTGTTCATCTCTGTAAGGAATTAAGATAAAACAATAATCATTGCAAAATAAAAAATATAAAAAAAAAAAAAAGAAAGGAAAAATAACATTTTTTGTTAGTGGACTTCGCCTTTTTCCAGCATGCTCTGATAATACAAAATCTTTTCTTTACCAGAAACCAGTTTTCAATATTAAAATTTATCACCTCACCTACTAAGTGGATTTTTGAATTTCAAGCAATCTATAGTTTTCAAAGTAAGTGGCTCCTTTGAATCCTTGTAAGCCATTAGCGAGTAGATACATTCGCGACATTTATTAACATCATTCGTTGAAAGCTCACTGCGTCGTATTAGAGTTAACAGTGGGTCGAATTTCTGGAAATGTAGATAAAATAGAGATTTCGACGACATTTAGTAATCTCTAAAAGATTAAATAATTTCTTGAAAATAAATAAAGCAATGCCTAATAATAGTACTTTTGGTATATTGTATATGAAAGCTTCATTTAGCCTGGAGGGCCAGTAACGAGTTAGTCTCAACAATTGCTTCCGTGCTTGTTCATTATATACCGATTCATCATCGACTGAGGCAGGTGAAACATCTGCAAAAAGCAAACTTAATCAGGTTTCCGATTTTAAACTTACAAATTTCAGCAGTTCCCCAAGATACTACTAATATTACACGATCAATCCTGAAAATTTGATATCGTTTCTAAATTTCAAAATTTTGGGATGAAGTTCAACAAAAAAAGAGAAGAAAAGAAAATATGCAGGAAAAAGTTTAAAATTATCAATTACCTGTTTCCTGTGAAATGACAAGACGTGTTTCTTTCATAAAACTAGCAAAATCAGCAACACGAAGCGGTGCACTCGGCTTAGGTAATACTGCGTTTGTCAACAGCTTTCTATCATCAAGTACTGCTAAAAAGAAGTTAATGAATCAGAAATATCATATAATAAAGGTTAGAAAAGTATGACTTACGATGATTTCCGATATGCACTGTATGTATATAAATCCGCCCTGCATGACACATCAACAGATGCGAAATGAGCTTCTGATTAACATTCGGTGTAACGTCTCGTGGCAAATGTACATTATGTTTCAACACCTAAATCAATTAAAAGGCTGAAAAAAAAGAAACCTAAATCAAATTCGATCAAAAAAAAATTATTAATATTTGTTTATTTCCCACCAGAGAAGAAACTCCACTGTTTCTTCATCCCTAAAATTTGAAATGAAAATAAAAATTTTAACAATAAGATGTTACTTCGAGCATAACATTTCTGCCGCTAAGAAGAAATGAAGTAAGACAAACAGATGGCCGACCATTGACACTTGCTGGTGATATCGGAAGTGCAGAGATGCATCGAGGGAACTAGAAAGAAAAAATTTACATCCTTAGTCCATCAATTCCCAAGATTCATTAAAATATGACAGTGAAAATTAAAACAAAAACCTGATTCCAACGATTTTTAGCAGATGGAGTTGTCCAGGCTAGTTTGACAGTTTCATAATCGCCGGGATTAACAGTGACTCGTAACTTGGAACCTGGTCCGACCAAACCATATCGTTGTAAGAAATAATGACTCCGACGTGGATGAAATACCTCTACGTCATAATTCACCGACTGTCCCTGTTGTGCTTCTTCCTGAAAATTATAATAATGGTGGATTTTAAATTAAAACCTTAGAATATGAGACTTCATAAGAATTTGCTCATCAAAATTAACCTTCATTGGTATACTAGTAACTGTTGTTGAGACTAAATCAAAGTGCTTCAGAATAACACCGTGTAAAACAGGTCGTAGTGATGGACCAGCTTCAGCACAGACAACACTGCATGAAACATATTCATTCAGCTAAAAAGAATAAGCTTGAAACGGATAAAAACCAATCATGTAAGTAAAACCCTTTTAAAACAAAACAAAACAAAAAAAAGCTAAAAAAAATGCTTCAGAGCAATTGAAAAAGTAAAACATAGCAACCTTAGTAAGCGGTTTAGCAGTAGGAAGATAGATTTTATCCTTATTGTCGTCTGTCACCGGATAAATAATGATAAAATAAACTTGCACATGCGTGATTGGGGCAAAACTAAAATATATTAAAAATATTTAAACAAAACATCAGAATTTTGCCTTTCCCTTCTCACTTTATCGCATTTCACATCTCTGAAATGAACTATAACAAAAGATTGCTTTTTATTACTAACTTTTTATCACCATCCAAAGCTTTCACAATTTTATTGCGGCTGATAATATCTTCAGTGATATGTTTCGTCAACATAGCAATATCTTCGTCACTGAAATATCCTTATCAGTTACAACTAATCATGCTTTGACCAAATTATTATTCTGTTCTAAAACAGAAAAAAAAATGATTGGTAATACAGATTATTTCATAAATTACATCATTTTTTCGAATTAAACAAGAACTTTCAACTGTAACATATGCCTCTTAAGAGATGTGAAAACAACAATTGAGCCCGTATTTGGAAACGTTTTCTTGATACCATTTTCGACCGTTAATTCATACATTTTCTGCCTTGCAAACTTCATTTTAAGTGATAACCTTTTTACGCGATCCTTAAAAGAAAGAAAACCAACATATTATTTAGTTTCCGTATATTCCCTAGGATCTAAAACAAAAAAAAAAAATCATTATCAACAATTAAAAGTAATGTAATCACTTGTAACTGCGGATCTTTGCTAAGAAATCTATGCATTTAAGAAAATAAACACTTAAAGCTTACCGCAAATCTCTTATTTCTCAAGTCTGTTTTACTTTTATCATCAACAACGTCGAATAATTCTTTGCTCTCCAGCTGTTTTTCATCACTATGCTCCTTCATACTGCTTTCACCACGTTTACTACACTTTCCAAAATATTTGAAACCAGAATTCAAATCAGACTGCTTTTTTTGTAATTCTGTCAATTCACTAATCGCTTCAACAGCAATCGAGATACCGTTAATTATTGAACAGGATGATAAATCCGCTTTAGCATCCGGAACACCACAGGATGCAAATGATTTCAATAACTAAAAAGAACCAATTCATAGAAGATGAGCATTAAAAAAATACGCTTTTCAGTAAATTATCTGAGACTACTTATGCATTAACAACATAAAATAATAATTACTTAATATCTGAAACTTTTTTTTAATCACATGTCTAAGTTCTTGAATCATCTTGATAGATATGCTTCGAAGAAATATGAACCTGATCTAATGAAATAAGTTGTGTACCCCAATTCGGTGTCAGAAATCTTCCAACAAAATCGGAAATCACGAAACGCATTAGCCGCACACCATCTGGATAAATTTCATCAACAATTCGATGGAATTCAAAGGCTGATTCAACAGCACAAGTCCAAAGTGTCTTCTCCACCTGACTTACTACACGCATCTGTCCCGTTGTTGAATCTTTCAGGGGAATGTCGATTTTCTGTAAAAATAATTTCAAGCTGATGTGAAAGAACACCACCAATTATATTCAAAATTTTATTCCTTTATTCAAATTTATCCAAACACTTCGCGTGAGATCTATGATATTCTTACCTACCATCATGACTACCGTAAAGAAAGATAAACTTCTCAAGTCAAAAATTTGCATATATATAATACACTGCTTGTACCTTATTTCATTTAAAAATAACTAAAGAAAATTTCCTATTATGGAGAAAGTCAAAAATTTGATGTGATAAATTTCAAGGAGCTAATGTGATAATTTTACTTAAATTTAATTTAAAAAATGAATTGAGTAGGAAAAAACGAAACTAACAAAATTAGAGGAAGTAGCAAAATCAGGTGAATGATCCAAGACAATAACAGTTTTGTGATCCGGACCAATTGTCACATCATTAACAGGTACATTATCGGACATACTCCATAATGCCGATAACGGATCCGTATGAATCCAACGAGTAGAATTAGCGGTTATTGACGTAGACATCATAGAAGTGAACTATACAATATCAAAATGATTCATAATCTGTGTGGAAATATTTCAACTTATAGTGTTGTTTTCAATTAAAATTAAATACTAAAAAAAAAGAAACAGCTTTTGGTTGTTTTATTTAATTTTTAGTGATTTCTAAAACTAAATTCATCAATGTTTCCAGAGTACTTATTATAGAATTAAAAAAAAATAATGACAACATATTGCCCTATGACCTAACAATTTCCTTGTGAATTCAAAAAACAAAAAAAAAAATAAACAAACAAACCAACAAAATCACATATTAATGTTATGCCAATATCACTTCCCCCTTCTTATCACCCATCGCAAACTGATTCGTTCCTGGTCGCATATTGACCTTTGTCCTTCTATTGCTTATTAATTCAAATGGGTGTGGAAGGCGCTCTGTGGAAAGTAAGGGGTCAGTCAGCATGAGGTCACGAATGTGGGATTATAGTTATATGTGAAATATTTAATTTACTTTTGGTAATACTATAAATAATCTAAGCCATTTTTTACAAAGTATTTTTGACGAATCACATTATTCTCTTCTGATATTTCATATGAATTATTTCGTTTTTTATTCCTTTCTGCATGATTCGATGTATGCTTTTTTGTTGCTTTTTTGTTTAAATTAGTAATTTATTATTTTTAGTGACAAATGGAAAATAAATCAATGAATTTGGGAACTCCTCGAAATCGCATTTCTACACTGAAATATTCTCAGTTAAGAAAAATTGCAAAGCGTTACTCAGTGAATGCTAATCAAAAGGTTATCATTTGTGCATAATTTTTTCTTTTTTTTTTTTTTTTTCAAATTTTATATGATATACGATAAGTTATCTGTTTTTTCAACATTATGAAGTTCATACATTATAATTCTATTTATATTAACTTGAAAGCTAAATTAGCGCAATCCACTTCACTTTAATCAGTATAATTTTAGTTTGCTCTTACTGGTTAATCTTAGCTACTGTATTGCAGTATTCAAATAGCATGTGATAATGGTCCCCAATAATGCTATGAAATATTTGTTTGTATTTCATTTCATCGAAACAAATTATTTACTGCGAATAGATTTGTTTAGATGCTTATTAAATTCAGCTATATAAGTTTTTCAGAAAGAAGTGTTAATAATGGAACTGTCGAAAGTTTGGCCACATTCTGAATGCGATAAAGAAAATATTACTCCGAAGAAAAAAATTGAATCTAAGGTGTTGATATAATGTGGTCATTATATAGCTTCTTTATATTTACTTTTTGTCTCATTATATTACCGTTTGGTTAGATATCATTCTCTAATTAATATTTTTCAATCCCAGCTCACGTAATAGTTTTCAGCCATGGGCTTTCAGGTAACTTTGTCGTGTTCATCTAAAAGTTCCTTAAATGATACACTCAATCAAACTTTTACAATTGAAAAAGATAGTGATGTTGATATGGATGATGTGGACCTGTCCACTGCGAAGTTGACTACAGCAGGTTAGAAATGTTTCCAAATACTTCTTGTTTCATAACTTTATATCTGTTTTTCATCTGCAGAAAAAACACTATGATCTAAACTGTTAATATTTTTTCGTTTTTTTTTTTTTTATAGATGGGAATTCGATTGAAAAAAAAAGCACGCTTCAACGTAGCCAAGAAGGCAATTTTCTGCCATTAAATGAATCAAATTCCAGTCGAAAAATGGAACAAGGTACTCCTTATAAAGGCAAATCTGTTGCGCCTGGTGCACGTAAGTCATTAGTTTTCCTACTATATCATACTGCTGTCTAATTAGGTACTACACCGTGCGTATGCACTTTCAACTCTTATAATCCTTTCTTGAAGTGTCTTGTTTACAATTTTAACAGTCTTTGCATAATAAGTGAAGATTTTTGCTCAAAGACAACGTGATATATCGATGTTTTTATGGTTGTTTCAAGAACCATAAAAGGATGATTTTCAAAAATTTGACATTTTTAGATAAAAACAATAAGAGTTATAGAAATACATGAAGATTTAGTTGTTGCACGATTCGCCGTTCTTCATCAGAAATTGGCTGCGAAACAACCAACTCTACAAGAGGTCGATGCAAATGTGAAGCGAAAGTTTGCAGAACATGAAAGATCAGTTCCTGATACTTTCAAGGTAAAATATATCGACTGCCAAAAATTGCTTCAATTTTATTTCAAATTATTTTATGGTTGCAATCATGGTATGCAATTCCATATCCAAAATCGGCTGTCTTAGTTTTTTTAATTTCACCTGATACAGTGCTCGCATGATTCTATATGAATTGCTTATGATAATGCAAGAAATGGATGTGATCTTTAGTGGCTATGGAATTTCTGTTTTGCGAATTTCAAGCTACCGATGATCTGCTGTAAATAAATGCCAATATATCCTTAGCAAATCAAAATAGTTTGACGCTAGAATTTTGAACTTGTGTAGCGTCAGTACCTAGTTTTCATTCACATTATGCTAAAATAGTTGGAGATTTCAGGAATCTTAAATCAGTAGAATTGTTTTCATAAAACTCGCGAATATTCTCCGTAAAACTTGATATGTTTTTAGAGGTTAGCTACACCGAAAGTTCTGAAGAAAGCAAAACCTGAAATAGGAGTTGAAACTACTGGGTATGTCTTTGCTATAAATATAATCACATATATAATATATAAACTGTTTTTTTGTATAATTTTCACTTTTTAGTGAAATATTCCGGACGTCATAGTGTTTATTTTTCATCAGGGAATTTTCGAGGTTTAGGGAAACATATTCTATTCAACCTATAATCAAAGTAAAGAGGATTTATGGATCTCTTTTTTTTAAATTTATCTTTGTTCAGGCATCAGTTCAAGAATGTTGATGAAGATCCATCAAAGATGGATTTTTCATTCCCAAAACTATATGGCACAAAAAACTCTTCTACAGCGATACAGAATTGTTCTGATGTGGCATCACAATCTAAAATTCCATTACCACGTAGAAGAAAGAAACCAGAAGTACGCTATTCATTCTTTAAGTTTTAATTGGCTTTCATACATTTTTTTAAATGTTTTTTATATATTTTTTATATTTTTAGGTATCTTATATATTTTAAAAATAGCTTAGGTATTTTCTATGTTCATATATGTTATGCATGAATATATTATGCTTGGGTTTTTTTTTTGAAGGAAATAATAATATATAATATAATTTACTTTCTGAATTTTTTTCTTTCGAAGTTCAGAAATTATTTATAGCGTTTTATAGATTGGTGTAAAAAAGCTAACAAAAAGGCTCAATATCAAACAAGTTCGACGATCTCCAAGGCTTGCACAGTTGACTAATTCTGTAACCGTGCCACAATTAAGCACACGTTTGCAAAGACTGGCTACTCCAAAAGGAAAGAATTCTGAAGGTAAGCTATTTATCTATTTTATAGTTTTTCGGAGAATTCTTGGTTGAATTGTTGATCATTCGCGTGACATTTTTCATTCAGTCCATTGCACAGCTGTGCGACTAATTAAATTGTGGTTTTAATGGGTTTCATTTATTCATTTAGTGTTACTAACGGAAAGTGAAAAGAAAGCGCTCCGTAAATATGGGCGTCGATATGTACCCTATCGTCATCTAATACCTTATGTGGATACCACCAAAATGACTGATAGTCAATTTCATGAAGCAAAAAAACTTGGCCAGGTGCAAACATTAACAGCTATTTCTGCTTCAAGGTTTGTTTATTTTTACCTTTAGTATATCTTAAATTTTTTTAAGGGAAAGTTTTTGAGATTTTGTTTGTGATAAATACTGTTGATTAACGGACAATAATGAGTATACCGATTTGTTGTAGAACTGAAACACGTCAGCAGCTTCGCTTGAAACGCGGCGAAGCTCGTGAACGGATATTGAGAGCGAAACGTGGTTGTTGATAATGGAAGCATTATTCAAGCATCAATTGTAGCAGTGCAACGCTTTTAAGATAATATGAAATATTTGAAATCTCTTATTTATCACTTTTATCACTTTAAAATGTTAGATATTTTGAGCTTTCTGAAAGCTTTTGTTTATACGCAACCTTATGTGGATCGTTCATTTATGGCGAACTTCATGATCTTTAAATAGATATTATTTGTTTACATTGTGCATATTTACAAGTGTTATACACTTTCATTTATTCAATTAAACCTGAGCTGTAATTTATGATTCTCGCTCTGATCTTTTATAAACCTTCTATGCGCTATGATCAATGTAAGCATTTTTAGGCTCGAGATAATAATATTAATTTATCGCTTATTCCATGTCATATTTGAAGTGTGTCAAATGAATTTGGAACGATTTATATCAGAAAGTATGAACAGTTTGTTATTATAACAATTTTTTTTTCCTAGAATTGACTGTCGACTTTTTGGTGTCAGTGATCCAGTAAGATTATCCATGAGTAACAAGGTTGAAGAGAGTTAGGAAGTCATACGTGCATCAAAAGAAATATGCAATGCACTGATATTATAGCTGATCTTAGGCTTTTATTTTAAATCGGTTTGTCTAACTATGCAAGCGTTACGGAAAGGGATTTCATTGATTCGACTGCGCGAAATGTCAACAAGCTGTGTGTAAGTCAAATTACTGAATATATGTAGTTGTGCTAAAGAGAGAATTCGGAATTTGCACTTTCCACTTCTGAATATTTCATTTTTAAAAAAATCGTGTGAAATATCTGTACATATTTTTTCATCCATCAAAAGCACAAGAAGGAAATATATACATAAAGAGTAACAGCAGGCTGTTAAATTTTCGTTTATCGCATTTTACTGCGGTATTCGCTGTATTTTGGACATTTTTTATTCCATTTAATCGTTATTCATCGAAAAAATTTACAGTGCTCAAAAATTAAGTGGTGATAACTATCAATATGTTCACAAAAGCGATATTCCAACTTATCATTTCCAACGAAGTCTTCGACGATTACCAATTCCAAAACTTTCAGATTCGTGTCGCAGGTAGCTTTTTTTAAAGACACAGTGTTTAATGTAATTGTAATTTTACCGTTTAATGAGATGAATATTTTTAAGTTATATAAAAATATTTCGAAACAGCTCTTTATTTTTCAGACTCACCGAATCTGCAGAAGCCATACTACCAAAGGGAGAATTAGAGTTGCTGAAAGAGTTGGTAAAAGATTTTGCAGCACATGATGGTCCTGGTAAGTATATATTTTGTGAAATTTAATTTAGCTCTTGTATGTGTAGACTTTTCTTATAGATAATAAAACGCTGCTGTTTTCAGAATTACAAAGAGAGCTCATATTACATGATAAACGGAATCTGCATACAAGCTTCATATCAGAACCGTGGTTTGACATGTACCTTAGCGATCGCCTTCCATGTCCCATTAATTATAATCCATTCATGGTTTATGCTCCAGATCCAGATCCAGTTTATAATGACCAGGTAATAATCAGTCTCAATGAATTGCTCAATTTCAGTTTTACTGATTAAGCAAGAATCGCTGGTTATTAACCCAAGTCTGTTCAGTCAGTTTAACATATATCTCTTTAGCTACACTCCAATTGTGAATGTATATTGAGCCGTTTTATTAGCACAGCCGTTTGGTGAATATTTGCTGTTCTTGCTAAATTAGTTTGATACTGAGACAATTTTTTGGTGGTTACATTTGAATGAGATATTTTGTTACTTATTTTAGCTTACTCGCGCAACAAATCTAATTATTTCGTACGGTCGTATTAAGCGTGCGCTAGATGCAGAATGTTTAGCGCCTGAAATATACTACATGAATCCCAAGACTGCCACTTCAACACCATTCAGATGGGTTTGCAAGTTAGTTTATTTTCATATTATGTTAAGGTTTCTTCTCCGTAATTCGTAAAAGACTATGATGTACTATTCTATTTTCTAATTTATAAAGAATTTTTTATGTATGGATGAGTGAAAAAGTGATGCAAGAAATATGTTTTTGCAAATAATAGACATAATTGTGAAACTTTCTAGAAACTTGCCAGAAAATTTACGATGGTACGGTGCAGCTGCTTTTGGTGCATTTCCGTTGGACATGAGCCAGTACAAATCACTTTTTGGCGGTACACGTATTCCACAAAAAGAGAAGGATTGGCTTATGCGTTGTGCTGATTCTAAACATTTTATTGTCTTACACAGAGGAAGAATTTATTCCGTTGATTTGTTTGACAAAAACGGTATGTTCTTAGCTGAAATAAGCAGCTCAAGAATTATATGTCAAAAATGATATAAATGCATTATTTAGTATCTGGAAATAACCTGTATTTACTTGCATTATATTATTTTTACCAGTTTATATTCACAGGTTCAATTGTTCCTGCAGAACAAGTTCAGGCTTGCCTGTCCATCATATTATCCGAACAGAGCAACCTAAAATCGGAAGAATGCGTAGGATCTTTAACTTCACTTGAACGCGACCAGTGGGCAAAAGTCAGGTTTTCTTATACAGTTTGTCTTCGCCAAAATCCTCCATAATAGTTCATTTTTCATCAGAATTATTTTGAATAATTATTATTTACTATTCGATGGTGAAAACTATCACTGTAACTCAACACAGTTCAGTATGTGATGTACTTTGTCTACGGAAGACAGTGTTGACGATGGAAAAATGAATTTGTAATAATTGAAAATATATTTTAGGCTCGTTCTGAGTTGTCTTCAATTGGCAATAATTCGGCAAGTTTGGCGCTAATTGACAATAGTTTGTTTGCCCTTTGCCTGGATCCACCGAGAAGTGATAATTTAGATCAACTGGCTGAGAGCTTACTAAGTGGTGGTGACGCTAGGAACAGGTTTGAATTTATAAAGATTTCATGAATTTTTAATGCAGAACAAGCCGGCTACTTTTTGTTACAACGGTAGTTCTAATGTTTATTACAATTAATGAATTGAAATTTAAGCGAAATAAGCAAGATAGGTGCTGTGAGGATGTTTGAGTATCTCACTGATGTTTTTAAAATATATTTCAGATGGTTCGACAAATGCTTCCAATTAATAGTTGATGCACAAGGTACAGCTGCGATAAATTTTGAACATAGCTGGGGTGATGGTGTTGCTGTACTTCGTTTAATGGAAGAATCATTCCGTGATGCGAAACAAAATCATTTTGTACATCCCAAAGAAACCTTCAATGCCACAGCATATTTAGGAAGTCATTTACGACCAATTGGTGAGTACTTTTTTTAAATATCTTAACTATCTTACAGACTTCATTTTGACTGACTTTTTAGAATTCTAGAAAGCAATATTTTATGATGGAGAAAGACAGCAAACAACGGTTTGATTTTATGGAAGAACACGTTTTATGATTTGGAATTGCGGAAAATTTTTGTATCGTAAGAACATTAAGCACTTATCATTAAAAAGTATAGTATATGTTATGCCACTCATACAGATTGCTTTACAGTTTTGATTTTTATTATTCCTTAAAATTTTTGATAGACCACGAAATATTTTGCAGACTTCATATTGACTGATTCAGTACGTCAAAAGATTCAGGAAGCTCAAGCAAAACATGTTGCGACAGGGTCCAGAATATGTTACAGTTCTGCAGAATATTTTGATCTAAACCGACAAACTATCAAACGATCAAAGCTTTCACCGGACTCTGTTATACAATTAGCAATCCAGCTGACTTTTTATAAGCTCTTTAAGGAATTCGTTCCATCTTACGAATCTTGCAGTACTGCAGCTTTTCTAAAGGTAAGGTTAAGCTTATTTCATAACCTCTCAAAATTCTCTCACAGCTCTCTGTACCTCTCTCTCTCTGTATAATAATGATTGCTGATTGCAATGACAAGTAAAAATTGACTCTCTTTTAGACTTTAGTACGCTTTGACTGGACATAGAAATACACTTTACTTTTATATTACTGTTAGAAATACAACACGACACTTGTAAAATGCAGTTCCTAGTGAGATTAAGATTTTGTGATGCATTTTAGGGACGAACAGAATGTGTACGTTCAGCAACATCTGCTACGACTAATACAGTTCTAGCGATTGAAAGTAACAAAGGTAATATTGGAGAACTTCTGAAGAAATGTTCTGCAGTGCATTCACAACTAGTGAAAGAAGCTGCAACAGGTAATTGATTCAATTGATAATGCTGCAGTTTTTAAAAGATAGCTATATTATTTATTTTATCAATTCAAAATTTGGAATTGGTTGTATTATTTATTTTATCAATTCAAAATTTGGAATTAGCTGTATTATTTATTTTATCAATTCAAATCAATTTTATTAATGCATACTTTCGTTGAAGGGCAAGGTTTTGATCGTCATTTAATGGGTTTACGCTGTACCGCTGAACGACTTGGTTGGTTGCAGCCAAAATTATTCAGTAGTGATATATACAAATATATGAATCGTTTCATCCTGTCAACATCAACTCTCTCCACAGAAACTATCACAATTGGTGGATTTGGGCCGGTTGTTCCTGATGGTTTTGGTATCGGTTACAATGTACTTAACAGTAAAATGGGTGCTCTTATTTCATCTTATAAGGTAGATGTTTGCTAAAAGCAATTTCCATCCTATTTTACAAGCATATTTTGTAGTAACATAAGCGGAAATGAAGATATTTTTAATATACATTTTGTGAGCGACAGGAAATTTCCTTCCAAGGAAAATATCAAATTGTTTGATCATGACAGTCTAGTTAGTAAGTGGTAGGAGACCAATTTATAACCGGTTTCAGTTAAATGAAAATTAAATCTTTGCTGAAAAGTCAGAACTGTTATTTTGAATTTTTAATTTCATCTAGTGTCTTCAACAAGGTAAAGAAATAATCTGTATTGAAAATTTTTTTCACTTTCACACTATTTGTTTTTTTTTTTTTTTTTTTTCAGGATCAACGTAGTGCAGATGCATTTGCAGATTCACTTGTGGAAAGTTTGGATATTTTGAAAAATATAATCATTAAGCAATAAATTGTGATAAATTGTCTTTCATTCTTTTAATCTGTGATAGCCTGAATTGAACGGAATCCGGTAGTGCTTCTGTTTTTATTCCAGGCCAATAAATAGTGCATAAAGATTGTTTTCTTATTTTCCAATTTCGGGTATTGTACTCCTAAATTTGTGCTTCATAATTAGTTATTTAAACTTATCGTGGCAAATCGAATAATCTAAGGAAATAGTACTTTGTTTTGGTTCCTACGGTATTATGACATTCCTCTTGTATCAGGAAAAGTTTACAATTTTGATATGTCCTTTAGAGTTTCTGAAATAAGAAACGAAGATTGCAGACTCTTGTCAGTTGCTTTTAAAAATCAAGAAGATGAAGAAATAGCAAATGATTATAGATGAGCTTAATTATAGAAGGCATTTTCGATTCGAGGAATTGTAATGTTAAAGCAAAGGCACTTTTTGTTGCGTCAGTTGCGACTATTCTCATCTAATTATAACAATCGTGAAATATTAACTGATTATCATTACACTCCTTTTGGTAAGTTTGATTTTTTCTACTTTTTCGGAGCATTCATCCATGATTGAAATCTAAAATTTGATATTTTTAATTTGACTTCATAACAAATAATTTGATATTCCATAGCTCTTTTCACATTTTAACCAAATTTCTTGGGTAAGGAAAGTTTTTTGTATTGTCAGGATATGGAATTAGCATTGAAGAAGTAAAACTCAAGTCTCTGTTTCAGATGACAATGATCAAGGACCAAGGACTAGTTTATCACGTTTAAACGATGAGATGCTGCAATGTCAACAGATTGGTATTGGAAGTATCAGTAAGTATGGTTTTCGTTTATACGACGGTCAATTTCTCTATGGTCCGATTGCAATTTTTCCGAAAGCTGTACTCTCATGGCGTATTCTTACACCAGATGATATTACTCCCGAATCAATACAATTCTTTGCATTGCTTGAACCAAAGTTAGATGTACTGGTAGTTGGACCAGGAGATCGTCAACATGTCGATCCCGTCCGGAGACGAATTGCCCCTTTTTTATCTAAACATAAGATTGGACTCGAAATCATGCATTCGGCAAGTTATTCTTTACAGACCGTGATATTTTTTTTCCGAACATTTTCTATTTAAGTTTTAGATACAGTTTCTTCTGTGATTTTAACAAAATAATTTCTCATCATTCTTAATACTGAATCTTTGTATATACGTATTCTGTGATAACTTCATCTTCACATTCCATAAATGATTTTTTTCACTATTATTTCATCGATTATATTTGCCATTCAACTATCTGTTTTGTCATCATCAGTTGATCTTGAAACCTTTGATTTTTTTTTAGGAAGAAGCAGCAATGTTGTTCAATATACTGAATATTGAATACCGTTGTGTGGCTGCAGCACTTTATCCACCAGATGATTTGCTGGTAACGACAAATGACCAAAGACGTCTGATGAATATGTATGGGGAACCGTTAAGTCAGACTACGGATATGGGTAGTAATATCGATGATAAGTTGAAATTGGCAAAGAAAGCGATGCGCAAGTATTTGTCGGAAAGTGAAATAAAGAAATTGGATAACTTGCAAACTTCGAGATTTCTGATGCCAGGAGAGAGCGATGATAAGAGTAATGAAAAATCGGGGAGAAAAAAATGACCTTTGCTAAAAGAAGAGTGATAAACAGTAAAGGGTTTAAGTAATACGTTTACTTATAGTCTGAAAGTTACATGAGAGGCGTACTACATAGAATTTCTAAGATATCCGTTCAGATAAAATAAAAAATCACGATTCGTTTTACTGCGCTGATTATTCTGAAAAACATTCGTTTTTCTTTTATCACACGCAACACAACTTAACTATAGTCGTGCATAAAACTTTGCACTTAGTTTTTAACTTATCCGGATAGATATGCACCGAAACATTTCTACATAATGATTGTTGATAAGATTATTGCATTGTTTAAGTGGTAATTGTTTAAGCAACTATTTCATAAAATCTTATGAAGCAACCGCTTCATAAGATGGCAAAACAATAATATGATTAATTATTGTTGATATGGTTATATAAGGAGCAATATTTGTCTTCTGTTACATTCTTAGTGAGTACGGTTCCTTATCTTGGTGCAACAGGAATAAAAGGTTTAATTTTGATGTTTTAATAGGACGGGTGAACAAATAGGGTACAATGTATTCATGTATGATAATGATGTAAATAAATAGTTGCATGAATAAAAAGTATTTTAAAATTATTAGCCTAATTCATTTGATGTTTTGAAGACTTCTTTTTTCATATATTTTATTTTTCTTCACGTTTAACGTAAAGCGTTTAATGGTGTTTATAATGAGATAATAATGGAAACTGGTAATTACCAGAAAGATTGGATCTTTAATTCTTAACACTAGAAAATTAATCAATTGCTAGTGATTATATGGGAAGGAACTATTGACTTCGTTGATAAAATATACCATTTATTTAAAATGAAAAATAGCCTTTTTTTATTAGGAAAAAAGTATGGAGCTTAATATAAATAGTTATGTTTCATAAACAACATTAGAAAAAGGCAAGGTTTGAGTGATAGTCATAATTTTTTCTTCAAATCAGGTTATTGATTACTTATTCGTAAGATTTTGAACATTTTTGTTTCATTCTTGGGACACGTTGTACTCTCGGTTGTACTTTTTATAAATTGTTAATAGTGTTGAACGAAGAATTGTAATAAGGATCAACGATTGTTTGATTCACTTTCAAAAGTATTTAGTTAGTTGCATGACAATATGCTAAAATTTGATTTTAGAACTGAATGAGATTGGCTTTATGGGAAGCACGGCATGCAGCCGCGCTAAAGAATTATGATGATGCGGCTCGATTCTACATGACCTTATTCAATGACCTGGAGTTAGAAGAGCGACGAAAATATCTGGATGAATTTGTTGCTGTATTAGAGGAGATGGGTTCAGCTAATGCTGGTAGTGATTATTCGAAACAAATTATGTTATTACTTCAGAGTCGAGTACTATTTCCACATGAAGCTACCGTTCTGAATGCATCGGCTAAGTTTTTTTTTGTTGTAGGTAAGTTAACTTTTGTTATATATGTTAATTAAAAGTTAATCTTTTGTCGATGCCTAAGCTTGAGTTATTGTGTGTGGGAAGCTATGTAGAAGATAACTTTATGAAACATATGAATTGAGATGGTTCAACATCCCATATTAATGTTTGCGTTTGCAAATCAAATTTTAATAAATCATTGTATGTTCTGAATTTATGATATATTTGTAAATTATAACTATGAATTATAAATTAATTATTGTTCTTATTATAAACTGTTAAAATTGACATGAAAAAAGTATTACATATTGTATAGTTCAAGTTATAAATCAAACTGATAATAACATCACATTTGTCTTACACTGATTGGGACCTTCCTGGTGTCATAGAAATGATGCTTTGGACCTTCCTGGTGTCATAGAAATGATGCTATGTCAAATTTATGGCATAAAAATTTTGAATTTTGGATTTATGTTTAGACTGAGATGATATGCTTCTTTCAATAGGTATATCTGTCCACAGTTCTCCAAAACAACTAGATAGATATATATTTTAATTCAGTTATACAAATATATATATATATATATATATATATATATATATATATATAGACAACTTCAACAATACTCGATATATTAAATTTAGGGCGACTATTGGAAGCTTTTGATTTTGCTCAGGAAGCAGTAAGTGGAAGCGAAGGTCTATCACATATTTATGCACTTGTAAACTTGGAAAATATTAAATCGAATATGTAAGTCATTTAAAGAGTATTAAAGAGTACGAATATGTAGGTTTATTTATTAATTTTTGTTGTTATTGTTCTCTCTCAGAAGTATTGTCCAGTTATTTTGTGTATATATGCCAAAGATAATACTCAGTCCTTACTTTATATTTTCGGATGACATCAATATACTTATGATAAGCTATTTGGTAAGCTATATGTGATCTCTCCCAAACATCTCATTTGATCAGTTTTCACTTCACTATAATTAATCGAAATTATTAGCAGCTGAATAATAGTTGAGATAATTTAATATCAATGGTTTTTATCGAAATTCGTTTATATTTTGCGTTTATATTTGTAGTTGCTAGCATACCTAAACACATGCCATATTTGATGATGGTAACTTTGCTGATAACTTTCATAGTTCGTAGATTTAATTGGTTTATTTGATGTAATGTTTGATAGCTTTAAAGATCATTTTTCTTTTTTTTGCAGTATGGATCAATGGCATTGGGCTATGTTGAATGATATGAACCGTAATGCTGCTTATGCAAGTGCTATAGAACTTGTTGCTAACTGGAGACCGGAAAGTCGTGTTCTCGATTTGGGTACGGGCACTGGTTTGCTCACATCAATTGCACGCAGGTTATGCTTTCACTTAATAAATTCTACAGCAAGACTTAGTTCTTGGTAATTAATTTAGTTTATGAAATTTAAAAAAAGATTCATTACAATCTATATGGGTTACAATTTTCAAACTGTGGCGCAACTTTGCTATTGCACGCCTTTTAACCTATGCTTAGCCTAATCATAATTTAAACTTCGAATACGTTGGCGGTCGAATTTACAGCATAATCTATAAGCGTCAAAAAAAATTTAATGCAAAGTTTTCGAAAATAGCATTTCCATGTTTTTTAGATAGATAATTGTAAAGGTAGAGTTTTTTTTTTTTTTTAATAATTAACATTAAAGGCACTTCAAACGTGATGTTTATTGTTGTGAAGTTGATCTAAATATGTGCGACATTGCTGAGAAAATACTGAATGAAGCAGTAATCCGCAAGCATTCTTCGGAGATTATCCTAGAGGATATTGGCTCTGAAAAGGTAATTGTTGCTTTTGGTGAAATTTTTGAATAAATTTGTGCAGATTTTACAAAGATGTTCTGCAAACTTATTAGTTCGAAATTTTAATGAAAATTTTGAAAGAAACTCGAAACATGAGCGTTAAATCATTCAATTTGGTTTTAAGTTATTCATCATACATTTGTTAATTTGATTTCTTTATATAGAGAAATTTCAGATCGATGTAGTAATTACCGAGACAATGGACTGTGGCTTATTAGGAGAAGGTATTGCATGTTCATTATATGATATACATACACGAATCTTGTCATCATCACCGGTTATTGTTCCTAGATGTGTAAGAGTTTTGCTTCATAAACTTTTTGCTCCTAATATTCTAAAAAATATAATATTCATGCACGTTTTAAATTTTATCTTATTATTTTTGAATGGAAAAAGATTACAATCTTGCAGGCAACAGTGTATGCTTGTATCATTGAGAGTACAGCCATAATGGATGAACATGTGTCAGTTTTCTGTGGATGTCGCTTTGCTTCCGATAGCGTTACTGCATCTTACGGTATGTTTTTTTTTTTTTTTTTTCGTATTTATATTAAATTATTTCTTGAATAATTTAATATTGCATATTTCCGTCGTTTTCTTATTCGTTAGGAATGCTTGTAATTAGTTTGCAGTTTAACTCCAAGCCATTTCTAATTAATTATAGATACTTCTGGAACATTAGGTGAGCTTGAACCATATTGGTGTTGTTCAGCGGCTGAAATTCGCGGAGGATACAAAATTTTAAGCAAAACTATTGAAATATTTGCTGTCAATTTTGACAGTCGTGCAGAGCTGTATAAGATTGTTAACACTGGTATCACAGAGCTACGAATGACTCCCATAATACGTGATGGCACTGCCCATTGCATCATGGCTTGGTTCAGGTTTGTTCTTTGACTGCATTGAGCATTTACTAGAAACACTGTTTAATTTGGATAAAATAAGTCCTCAATTGAAATTTTGATTATTTTTTGGAGCAAAACGCAAAAGAAGAAAAAAATTAAAAGAAAAAATTAACGGAAAAAAGAAAGATGGTACCATCTGTTTGAATTACATTAATAGTAAATTTTCTTTTTTTTCACTCCAAATTAATTATCACATTAACCAAAATGTGATAATTAAGCTTCTTGAAGCTTCTAATGTTGAATAATATTTGGAATTTTTTTAAGCTGTTTATTGTTTCCTGGTGCACCACTTCTCAACACAAGTCCAGAAACAACCGGTTGTTGGCAGCAAGCATTATATCCCTTACCAAAACCAATGAGCTTACATCGAGGCTGCATTTGTACATTGAAAATTAAAGCTTACAAAGATCAATTGTTGTGTGCTCTAAGAGATATTGTTATTCCGGAAGATCCTGAAATTGCTGAAAATGTAGAAGAGCCATGCAGTAGTGACAATGGTAACAACACACTATTGAAAGGAAAGAATGTGGAACAAGAATCAAAAACTGACAAAGACGAAAGCTCTGTACTGCCATCGAAACGGAGCAGGCATGATAGCGACACAAGTACCAGTATGATAATTAGTTATAAGAATTATGCATCACCGGATACTATTATTGTTCTACCTAATAACGATTTCCCAATGATGAATGACAGTCAACTAATACATTTTTTCAAGCGTAGTTTGGCTGATATTAAACGGCAAGATGAAATGTTAAATCGAGACCGGGATTTCTACGTCCTTGATATAGCTAATTTGGGTGCACTATCGATAGCTTTGGTGAATGCTTTTCCGGAAGTGAAATTTAGTTGTTATAACAATGATGCCCATAAATTGGTTCATCTTTTCTCTCCCCATACCCACAATTTTGGAGCATTCCCAGACAATCAGGGTTAGTTGTTTCCTTTTTTATATCAGTTTATTTTCAATTTTTTTATCACTTTTTTTTTGTCAATTTATCAATGTTTCCTTTTTTCCTTTTTTTCTTTTTTTCTTTTTTTATCAGTTTTATTGGTTCAATAAAACGGAAGCAACTAAGCGAAACTTCCTGGTAATTCTTGTTTGTTCCTTATGTATTTGGGTTATTATTTGAAGATAACACTGAATAAGTGAATAATTTTCTTTCACCTTGTAGATTTATTCTAAAAACTTTTGTGTTTTGTATCTTTTTCCACTTGCAAATGTTAGATTAGGTATAATGAAGGAGAGATTAGTGATCGTTATGCCAGTTTCATTTATTTTATTATCTATTAATTTTCAAGTACTTCAGATTCTCTCTTGACAGATGGAAGTATAACTGAGAATGGCTATCCGCTGATATCATCTAAGCCACCTCGTACTTATTTTGAGGTAATATTCTTTTTAAAAAGATGTGTAGTTTTACAGTTCACTGTTTTTACTTTTCTCCATCACTTCATTTCTTGTAGGATGCTGAATGTTCGGATGTACTAATATGTTGCCCAGTTAGTTCTCATGGGTTTCTTCTGGAAACATCGCTAAATCGTATACTCAGTTTCCGCCTTTCAAATGGACAAGCGCACATTATTCCAGCAAAAATTTCGGTTATGGGTCAAATTGTGAGTTGTCCCGATATTGTCAAGCGATGCAAACCATGTCCTTCGGCATATCAAGGAGTTGACCTCTCAGCAATCAATGATCTCGCTATTTCATTTTATTATGACATTGAGGTATTTTGGATTCTCACGTTAAATGTAGCTCACTTCTGTTTTGAAATTTTATTATTTAAGAAAAACTTGACTGTTTGTTTGAAGCTTATGAAAAGGACAGCTTTTATTTCTGAAGTTTAATTGGTTGTTTTAATAATGATCTCCATATCTGCAACTTTAGCATATTACCAGATAATCCAGACTAAACACTATTCTTATTAATTCAAATGCATTCTGCTTTATTTCAGCTTTCCGTTTTGAACCATGAAGTATTTTCTGATCCATTTGAACTTATGGCCTTGCGATTTGACAAGGTTCAAGTTCTTTTATTTGTTAAAATACGCCGTCGTCAAAGCGCTACCATTAAGACGATAGTGTAAATAATGAAAACTGTCTCTTTTCCAAAACAATTTTCATTATTTACAAAATTTATCAAATTCTTAGAACTAGAAAAAAAAAACATTGGGAAAAACTTAGAAGAAATAGGAAAAAAAAATTTAAACAAACTGTTTTCTCGTGTACTATGACATGTTTATGTAGTAGTCTCATCCTACTTGTTAGTCAACAGATGTGTTATTCAGTTGGATGAGATAAATTTCTGAATGTTAACTGAAACCATAAATGATCATAGTTCGGCTCATCTGTGATTTATTTGCAGCCAATGCCAGTAAACCCATCGGAAATGCCGGAATTTGTTTGCCTTACCGAAGCACCATCGGAAGCCATTATTAATGCTGATGGTGTAGCGGAAGGTTTACTATTTTGGTTTGATGTCGAAAGTGGCAAACAGTTGTACAGTACTCGATCTTCCAACACCCTTGCTCGTTGCGCCTTATATTTATTTGATGCAGGTCGTAAAGTATCAAAAAATGATCGTATCGCCATCAAATCATCCAACTATCATGGCAATTTCGCCTTTGAAGTATTGTGATGTAATGAAGACATCTAACCTCGTAATAGCATTACAAATCAGTTTAAGATTAATTGTTACGGCTAATTGTAATTATTCCTGAAATATTTTCTGTTCTAATAATAAAGATCATTTTATTAAAATTTGTTTCCAGTCATAAATTACATAAGTAATTTAATTAAATAATTATGAGATTCATATATCTATAAAAGGACTAAATATATCTCTCCTTTCATATTTCTCAAAAAATTGTTCAATGATGGTCTCATACGCGTCCTAGCCAGTACTAAACCAAAAAGGTTTATCAACATGTAGTTATTCACATACAGTATTAAAATTTAATAACTAAATTTTTAATTAACCATATCACGAGATCTGTTACAAAGCCCTTATCAATATATGATTAATATTACTGCTATTGACAATTATTTCAAAAAGTTATTGAAAAATAAACTTTAATTTCAATAAATTTAAGCAGAGAATATTTCTCAAAGACATGATTGCCAATAAATTTAAAAGGTTTGAAAATTAATTTGAGAGAATTATTGTTGGTATGAGCAACAATACTTAATTTTTGTCGAGTAACGATATACTTTGACTAATTGATATCATATCACTAAAATATCGAAATCGTTTATCTATTCTACGTCCAGAGAGAGTATTTTTGCATTTCGATGATAAAAGTATTTGTGTCACTTTATATGCTTTTCATTTTCCTTAAATTTCATCTCCATTAGAAAGTATTGCTGAGAATTGTGAAAATTCGTAGTGTAATCTATCATCTCTTTCTGCTGAAATAAAGTTTTTTTCTTTCTTTAATTGAAATTCACAAATTTTGATTTTGAAAATTTCAGCAACTAGCACTTTAATTTGCTAAAGATGAAGTAATTACTTTGTTTTTAATTAATTATTGTGCATCATAATTGCTAGAATACAATCAGTCATTTACTTATTATTAAATGAAAACTTATTAAATACTTATTAAATATATCTGTTTTTAATTGATGCAATCAATAAGTTTTAATATTAAATTAGATTGATATAACCTTGTAAATATGAAAATGATAAAGACCTACGAGAAATATCTTAAATTGGTGCAATTAATGAAAAAATCTTAAAAAAAAACTTAAAGTATTTATTTTAAGGTTTTTTAGAAAAAGATTATTTATTATAAGTACTAAATGCATGATAATAATTTCTTTAATTGTAACAAGCATGCTAATATGCCTATTATTTCATTTGCTATTATCATCTTATTAAAATTATTTGATCTTTATTTCTAATAAATATGCTTTGAAATAGCTAAATTACATTTGGATAAGATGTTTCTTCAGTACTCAATCGGAAATAGAAGTTCGTTTCATCTGTTTAATATCTTCAGGAGATAAACTTTTTGTAATATTTCCACTTATTTATAAAATATTTGATAGGTATTGATAAATTTAATATATAAATTATAAATTACAAATTATCATTTTTCCACTACTGTGGTTTCTAATTTTTAAAAAAATTTTCAGACTTTCAATTTTCTTTTTCATTGCCATTTTATCTAGAAAATAGACATATAAATCACTGATCTTTTTAATAAAAAATATATAAATTACATAAATTAATGAGAAACGAGCCATTTGACCCATACTTGTAGCCTTATGTTAGCCACCAGAAATCAACCGATGATCAATGAATCGTTTGATCATCGAAAATTATCGATACATAGTCCTATGATCAATGCATCTGGAATTCTTGAAACATTCTCCTGGCCATACTTTATTATCAAATATATTATCACTGTAATTTGATGTATTTAAATCAGATTTTTAAACAAATAAAATATATATTAAATTTTAAAATTTCAATTTTTCAATTTAAAAATTTCAATACTTCAATATCTTTTCATCTGGTGCAATTGTAATAGAAATAATTTGTGATGATTGATCGCTGTTTGTTTGACGTCTTAGAAATCGTTTGAAAATCATTAAAACATTTAATTGCCATAAATTAAATGATCCAAACGCTGTCGTTAAAATGATTATTACTATACATTGCACAAAATACGATATTGTTTTTTTCGTATGAAGTGCTGCAAATAAATCTTAAATTTATCATTCTAATTTTATGATTTCATTCATTTATGATTTATTCTAATTAAAATAATATTTTTTAAAACGAAGTATTTTTAGCTTTAAAAATTCTGTTATTAACTTTCTGAAAATTTAGAAATTCTAAGATCAGTATTACTTTCATAACTTATTATTATTACAAATGTAGAATGCAGCTGATCAGTGAGCTGATGTTAAATAAAAAAATATGATATTTTTCAATTTCACTTCTACTTTCCAAAATAAAAAGAAATTAAATGATCAGATGGAATTTTCCCGATCATAGACTATAAAGTTAAGTTCAGGTAAGTTTGCTGTGATTGGCTAAGTACTCCTATTAACTTATTAAGTTAATAAAAAAAAAAAAAAAGTGCATGGCATTTGAATTCTTTTTCTTGCTCTTAAACCATAAAATCAACATCAAACATTTTATCGACTGATCGACTAATTCGAAATTTTTGTAATTTTATAATTTAAAAGACGATTGTTGATAATGCTAAACCTTTAAGACGTACGTGAAACAATAACCTTACTTTGTTTATTAGGTATTTGTAGAATAACGTAAGTTAGATTAAAAATCAAAAAAAAAAAAAAAAAAAAAAAACTGAAAACAATGAGTAATTAGCAAATGGTAGCAAAATTAAGCCTTATTATTTAATAATTAAAGGCTATGATGACAAGCCGAAAATTGGCAATGCGAAGAAATATTTAATAGTTGAATGTTTTTCATGTTCACATCTTTCTTTTGACCTTTAACCTAACTTGCATTATTTCACAAATACTCAACAAATAATTGGTAAAAGGATATTTGAATTACTTTTTCCTAAATGAATTAGAATTATTTAGGTATTTCAGATATTATTAAATAAATTTTCATCACAAACACTCAGAAGTTTTTCTTTCTTATTCTTATTCTTTTTTTTTTTTTTTTGAAAAAAAAAAAAGGTTTTCAATCAAAAAAACTTACTGTCAAATATCCAATTTAAAACCATAATAATATAATTTGGTTTGAAAATGAAGAAATATATGAAGAAAAGATCGAAATACAGCGTAAGAATTAAATGAAACCACTGCAAATATATTATAAGATGAAATTACTTTAAATTTAAGTGAATTTTGAATCAACCAACAACAGTGCATTAATTAATTTAATATAGTTGACATGGTTTTAATATGATTTGATAAGAAATCAACTGAAATTGTATTTTATATCATAATTATCACTGGGATTGATTGTCTCTCATTTATTGTCGTAATATTAATCGATCATAACGCAATTGCTTTGCGATATTCTCAATTTTCTGCGATATCGCAATGAGAATACATATCATTTAATACAATTAATAAATATATTAAATCAATTCTCAGAATGGTACGCATACTAAGCTAAAAACATTTGTTAAACTATTTAATTTAATTATTCGTCTGCTAATTGATTCATCATTAATTGAATTTCTAGTAAGAAATCAATAATTTCAATCAAGATTCAAAAAAAAATAAACTAATTTTCACTCTTAAAAAAATATATTTTGAATATTTCAGATAAAAAAAAAAAAAAAAATTGTATTAATAAATGATCAAATGCAATGGTTCTAATTTCAGGAATAAACGGAACTGATATAAGTGAAAGTGTAATTAAGAAACCGGTTGATATATCTTATCGTTATCATTATCAATGCTCGTCATTGATTCTTATCATATGTTATAACTGATCATGAAATATTATAATTTGCAGTTTCATAGAGCAAATTAGCCTAAAGGTATGTCTAATAGGCGCAATTTGCTGCTCATTTGGTACATTGTCCGAAATAATCATTTTCATTTCCATTATGATTAAAAATAAAAATATAATTGGAAATGGAGAACTTAATAAATTGTTCGAAATTCATTAAAATTATTTCTTTCAGCTGTCATTACTTTCATCATTGATCATTATTACTTTTTTTATGAACAAACTTTCTTATCGTCTTATTATCATAATAAAAATATTTTTTCAATTATTTGAAAATATCTATCAGATAGTACAGAAAATGCTTAATTTTAAAATATTGCAGAAATAAATAAAAACTAATTCAAAAAAAAAAAAAAGAAAAATTTAGAAAGAATTATTATAGAAATTTTACACTAATTACTTACTTAATTTTTTTACAAATTTCAATGTTTGCTTTAATTTTTCTTCAACTTTAAAATAAATATTATTTTAAATATGAAAATTTCATCGTTTTCGTAATATAGATTAAATAAATTGTTAGAAAAAAATTGGGTTTTTGTTTTCAATATGACAAATAAGCAAGCAAATGAAAAAAAAAAATCACATAAATTAATGAATAAGTAAACAAATAAGATAAATAAAAGTTATATAATTGGAATAAATAGATAATTAAAATTATATTATCAGTATGACTCTTGATCTATGATTATTTTTTTTTGAAATAATTATCATGATTTCTTTTTTTTTTCACTCAGATTATTATTTCTGCTTATAGTTTCTAAGATAGCAGTAACTCACCGAAATACCGATCATAGGCCAAAGATAAAAATGTTTTCGTCGTAAAATGCCATAAAGAGTCGTTGAGATTACTGTTATTGGAATTATTATGGCTAGTATAGCTGGTCGAAAATACATGATAATTAATGTTGAAACAGCTAATGTTGATAACAATCCAATTATCACAATCAATTTGATGCTATTCTATAAATAATATTATCCAACAGATTTGATATTATTAAGTTATGTGAAAATATATAAGTTACTTGAAAATATAAATAAATTTTAATTGTTATATAACAATGAAGAAATGTTTATCAGATATATTGTTGAAATAACTTATAATATAAAAGTGATATATCTGATTAAATCAAATATTTCATAAAGAAACTGATAATTTTTTTTTTTTTTTTTGTCAGAATTGATAAAGGAAA